AGATCTGCCCCCTGGTAACACCTCAATAAATATTTGTCGCATAAATGAAGGAGAGCCCGAGGAATGCAGCACACAAGTAGATATAAAGTAGACATGCAGTGGCCGTCTCTGGAAAATGGTCCTTTAGCAGAAATGAGGTCTTTGAAACATAAATCTTAGGCAAGTTACCATTTACTATGTTAAGTGCCAAAGACAGGTTCAGAGCAGAACAGATGTCAGGCAGGGAGAATGTTCCGTAAGTCTCATGGGAGATGCCCTCTGGGGAGCAGAGGTGGTTTTCTCACTCTCCAGAGTGAGGTCCTGCCAGATGGCTGTACGTCTGAAAGGAGGCTTACTAAATTCCGGTTGCCCTCACCAGGTCACCTGACACTTCAGTACGTGATTGCAAAAATTGCCTTTAGCCATTTATACCACCTGGATGTGACATTCAGATTCCCAGGACAGTTTTCTTCTATAGAGCTGGGCTGTCTTATCACATTGTCTACACATTTTCCAATAATGGTTAAGCACCTAGGTGCGCAATCTCACTGACCACTGACATTCTCGGAGGTTGATTCTCCTATGGACAGTGCACAGGAGGGACTGAGCCTGGGCCAGGACTTACCATGCCTCCCAGGGCCAGGCAAGGTGCTGTAAACAGGTGGGCATCAGAAAGTCAGACCTTACCACTAGGAAGCTTATAAATCTAATGGGGTGAAGAGGACACACAGATTTAAGTAATATATCTAAACGGCTCCAAATAAATTCTGTAGAAAAAAGCCTTTTAGATTTTCTGCCAGTTCTGTGATTGTCACGTCTGTAGCGGTATTGCCTGTATTAAGCATTTTGAACAAGGGATACCACTGTTCTTCAAAATATGTTACTTTATTAATATCTAATATGAAGCTTTGGGAATGGAGGAAGCAGGAGAGATTTTAGCAGACTGATCAGACATGAGGGAATATGTAGGGAGAACAGTGTAGGATGATACCCAGGTTTTAAATACGGAGATGTTTGCCTTCTACGTTGGGAATTCCCTGCATCCCTTTGCCAAATGCACCCCAGTCAGTCCATATCCATAGGAATGACTACAATCTGTCTTTAACTTCACTGACATCTTATTAAGTGTCTGCTTTATCACTTCAATTTTCCATTTGTCTTAGTACAATTAGTTTGGCCTGACCAATCCTAAAATAATACATGCAGAACATTTAACATAGGGCATTTAAATTGAAGTACAATAAGGTTCCAACCTACTTTCTAGCATCATCTCTAGCCTCTACCTTCATACTTCCATGCCCTTACTCATGGCATTTCCTCTGCTTGGCACACATCTCTCTCTCTTTTCTCTCCTGCATCAGTGCTTTGCTCATATGTCATCTCATCTGCAAAGTCTCTCTTCTCCAGTTATGATGTCTTCTAACCTTCAGAGTTAATATATACAGTAGTCCCCACCACCACGTGTATGTGGGAGATAAGTGTCAGGTGGATGCCTGAAACCTTGGATAGTACCGAGCCCTCTATATGCTGTGTTTCTTTCCTATACATGAACACCTTTTCACTTAAATGAAGCATTTTACGGCCTCTCTTCAGCATCTCTGAATTGCCAGATCCTTTTACTTGTGCCAGTTCTTAAAATAGATCAGCTTTACTTTCTCCTTTCCAGGCTATTTTTTTTTTTAATCCGGGGTTTCTGTACACATTTTAAATTGCAGAGTTGTTTGGGAATTTTGTAGTCTTTATAATGATTTTTCCCCTTTTCATGGAAGACTGAGCCCTTCTTTATTTAAATTCTCACCCAAGGATATTTTATCATTGATATTTAGAGAGAGAGGAAGGGAGAGTAGGAGGGATGGAGAGAGAGAGAGAGAGAGAGAGAGAGAGAGACATCAATATGAGAGAGACACATTGATTGGTTGTGTCCCACATGCTTTCAGACCAGGGCCAGGGATTAACCTGCAACCCAGGTATGTGCCCTTGACTGGAATTGAATCCATGACCTTTGGTGCACAGGCCAATGCTGTAACCACTGACTCACACCAGCCAGGGCTTAAGCCTTTTTTTCCTATCCTCTTAGATCATTTATAGCGGCTGTGCCATCCAGCTAGATTGCAAGACGCTGCCCATCTATCACTCAAGTTCCTGCTGTTCAGTGATAATGTAGTCAGTATGCTTTCGTGACCCCGTGAGGGCTGTATTTTTAATGGAGTCGCCCTCGATATTTAGATGTTCCTGTTTTTCTCGAGGCCAACATGCTCAGAATGTGAATTTAAAAATTTTGCCCTCTCACGATGCAGTGGAAGTCAGACACTTTAATTTGCTGTGGCTCTGAGTTTCCTTTCACTCACTCTGTATTTTAATTTGGTGAATTAATGCTTGCTAGGCACTGGGCATAGCAACTGTTTCTCCACTTAGCACTTTTTGGGTGAGTCAGTTCTGTCTGCCTCATCATCCTTGCTAGACACGGGTGTCCTTTATATCTCTTGTGAGCCACGGGGGACCAAGGCACTGTCAGAGCTGTAATTAAAACCTGCTGTGCTGCCAACACAACAGACTGTGTGCGAGTTTAAGGAGCTGGCTTCCTTACTGTGCTTCACTTTCCCTTCATTATTGTCTGTTGTGCTTAGCTTTTGCGTATGGCTCAGTGAGTCTTTTGGTATTGGTGGCTAGGCATCAGGTGGGGAAAGCCTTTCTTCAAAGATGTTTTGAATAAAACCAGCAATGGGTGGGTACAGGGAGCCTGTCTGCTGCAGACTCCCACTGCAAGGCCTCCCTGTGCCTTCCCTGGCTTCCCTGGGGCAGAGGGAGTCGAGCCTCTCCTGTTCCCGTGAGAGACTCGTGATTACCAAATCCCGCCACCAGCACCCTTCGTGAAGACTCTCAAAGGCACCGCTCCCACTGCCTCCAGCCACTGCCGCCAGAACGCAGCTCTTGCTCACAGAGAGCTAGGGTGGGTTTTTGAACATTTCTTTTCAAACCTACTTTTGTATGAATGTACACAGGATGGAAGGCAGAATGTCGGTCGTCAGTCCTGTAAGAAACTATACGTGGGGTAAACAGGTTTCATAAATGTCCAGTTGTCAGTCTTTGTCATGAATACCTAAAAAACCAAGGCCCAGGTGGACCAGTACTCACCTTCACAGACCACCACCTCCACCAGCCATCCGTTTTCTCATACCTTCCTACCCACCTGCTATAAACATGAGGGGGAGGGGGACACAAGAAAAGGAAGCTGTGCAAAGTAGCAGAAAGCTAAAGTAGGAAAGCATCATATGAGAAAGCCTGAGGGCCTTTCGGGTGCTCAATGGATGTAATAGTCTAATGGGAAGATCATAAATAAGTAAATGCATCGTTCATGTAGGAGACTGGTACATGCTCCGAAGTGAATGAGCGGAGGTGTCACAGAGGCTGAATTGAGACCTGAAAGAACCAGCTACATGAGTGACGTGAGGAACAAGCATAGGAGGAGTCAAGGACAGGAGGGTTTCAGGCAAAGGGACACCCAATACAGAGGTATAGATGTGTCCTCTCCCCAGGCCCGATGGATCCTGGTGACTGCTGCCCACAGCTGTCTTGCACACCAAACACCAACCCCCCGGGGGGGCAAAGATAGCCCTTAAATTAAAGAAAGCCTTTTTCCGTGAGGCCATAAAGCAGTTGCTCCATTATCCCTCTCTTCCAGCCGGCATAGCATTGAGATGATTTTTATCAGGAGTCGACGCTTAGGTTATCAGGCATCTTAAGGATTAAGAGACTGAGGAGCAGACCCACAATGAACTTATCTAACCTTGTGACTAAAATTGGCAAAAATCCCCTTTTCCTTTTTAAATTGCACACGTAATTGCTTTCTCCGAAGGAGTGACTGCATCTAGCACTGGCCTGGCTGGTGACTCAGAATGAGAGCTTAGGAAAGGCCTTGTCCCATCTGACAGTCATACTTCGGGTGTGCTGCTGAGGTGTATGTGCTGTATAAGGTGACTGTGCTAGGCTTCAGTGCTCTTCCATGAATTGGGCTACATTCTCAGGAGGCTGCTACTGACAGGACCAGGTGCAAGCAGGGCCCGGCTGTTGTGTTTGGGAGCAAGGAGCAGACACCAGCACTTTTATGTCTGAGGCTACCAGCTAGCAAAGTTGCAGCGTCAGGAGCCAAATGGACAGGGGAGAGTCTGGCGTCTTATCTCCAAAATTAGAAGCAATTCTTAAAATGCCACAGGCTTTTATTGATCTGTTCCCTAATAGCTCTACAAGTAGAGAGTGAGATTTTTAATGGTCGCTAACGATCTTGCAAATGTCATCGACTGGCTGTCTATATATCTTGGAGAATAAGGGGCACACAGGACTAACAAATCCCAGGCAGCATTCTGAGGGAAATTACGGGGGGGGGGGGGGGGGGGGGGGGGAGGAAGTGACCATGCAACAATTTCTAATCCCATGTGGATTTGGGAGGGGACAGGAGCAGGAAAGTTGAGTGATGCTTGGATCTAGGAAGAAGTAGAGACAGTATTGCCAAGGGGTTCAGGGCATGGAATCAGATTACTTGGGTTCAGATCTCAGCTCCACAACTTGTTTCCTGAGTGATCTTGGGCATCTTATTCAATTGTTCTGAGCATCAGTTTCCTTATTAGTAAAATAAAGACAATCATAATGACAATTACTAAAAAAGCAATCTAGATCATATACACACAGTGCCTAGCACTAAGCCTGGCCATTTAGTTTCCTTATCAGATACTGGTAGACTTCCTGGAGTTGTTGAGGAATGCCTTTTCTGGATTGCCTTACAGTGGTCCTTCCCTGGGGGTGAAGGTAGCATCCTTTACTTTTTAAAGTGTTCATCTCTATTTTATTGGACAATGTGCGGCCACCAATTAGAGAACAGTGAGTGAAATAGCAACACATTCGATAAAGCAAAGAACAAAGGAGTCATCAACAGGACTGCACAAAAGCCATATGGAATAAAAATCATTTTCTAGGTTGTTAACCCCCTCTCTCTTCCTTCCTCCCCCACCTCCTGGTTGGTAAAGGTTTTACTCTGCATAACTTACACCCCGACATTTGACCTGAACGGGAGTGCAGTGCTGAAGATCGCGGAGGTGAGTGCCCGCTGCTGCCCCCCCCCCCCCCCCCTCGGGTGCTGCTTGTGCTTGTGCTGCTTGCTCACAGCTGCTTCACCCCAGCTGGCATCCATACGGGGTAGAGTGGAGCCCAGCAGTGGGGCAAGGCCTTCTCTGGTCATGACCCTGGAGAATTTCCACTAAGGGTTGGATCTGTGAGAAGTGGGCTCCGTGGTCCATCGTCCTAAGTCATGGTGCTTTGCATGCTTTGGTTTGCTTAACTTGAGTCTGTAACCATAGAAATAACAGTACTGGTTCTCCCCACCTTACCTCACTCAGAATGCATTCTTAGGCTGTTTTTCCTAAGCTCAATCAAAAAGCATTTGAGTTTTCTTCAAATGTTTTTTAAAGAAACCAGGTATTTGATTTAGAGAGATGTTTATTGATTAAATTCCATTCCTGTCTCCTAATCCCCTATGAGTGCATTTGTAGCTGTCGCTGGAAAGCCTTCTCTTTTCTGTCTGTATTGATCTGTGCTGTAGCCTGGGGCAATCAATACCTCCCAGAGCTCCCCCGAATGTGTCCTATAGAAAACTTGGCTTTCTGACTGTCTGGCATAAACCTTTGGTTTTTGGAGACCTCATTATTCCAGAGCTGTACTTTAATACTCTTAGAATAATTTTCTTTCTAATTCTTGAAAAGAGTATCTCCAGGACTTGTATGTTTTGACAAGCATGCACCTTCAGACTTTAATGAGGCATTGATATTCTGAATTCTTAAATTACAGAGAAAAAGAAAGCCTATTAGTGCTCATGAGTTTTTGTTTTTACAATAATGATTACCAATTATTGGGTATACCAGGTAGATGCTAAACACTTTGGGCATGTTTTCTTTTTTTCATCATTTTTTTCATCATTATTGAGGTATAGTTGACAAATAAATGTATATATTTAAGCTGTACAACTCGGTGTTTTGATATATGTATATATTGTGAAATAATCACTACAAACAAGCTAATTAACGTATCCATCACCTCACCTAGGTAACACTGTCATGGGTAGTATTTATATTGGCTGATTCATGGGCTTTTATAGTATTGTGTGCCATTAAAGGGTGAAAATTAAGAGAAAATTATTTTGAGCACACAGGACATTTTTGTGAGTCTATCAAAATAAGAAGAAGCAGATAATTAGCTGACTTCTCACTACAATATAAATCAGTTCTCAAATGTGTATTTATATTGTTGGAAAGAATACCTTTCTTTTACACATTTATATGTTTTACTCCATACAGGTAAAGAAAGAGAATAGCTGTCAGTATTTTTTTAATGAATTTTGAGAGTTACCTGTGAGTACTCATTATTGGCAGGTTAATTTTTTTCTATTGTGGTAAGAACACTTAGGATGAGATCTGCCCTCTTAACATAATCTTAAGTGTACAATACAGTAATGTTAACTATAAGCACAATGATCTAGAGCAGATCTCCACAAATTATTCATCTTCTATAACTGAAACTTTATACCCATTGAATAGTACTTCCTCTGTATTTCTCCCTCCTTCCGGCCCTTGGCAAGAACGACCACTCTGTTTTTCAGAATTTGACTATTTTAGATTCCCCATTACTTTTATTTTATTTACTTTGGATATCTGTGTATTGTTTTTGAATTGTAACAGAACCTAAAGAAATCTCCTAGTGAATATGCATGTTAACATCTAATGATAGCCTCTTTACAAAAGGTTTATATTTTATACTATGTAGAATATTTGATTTAACCAAAAGCTTCTACAAAATCTAATCCTTACAGCTATCGCTTTATTTTTTAATATTTTTTATTGTTGATAGTATTACAGATGTCTCCCATTTGCCCCCCATTAAACCCCCTCCTCCCAGCCCCTACCCACCCATCCCCATGGTCTTTACCACCCTATTGACTGTGTCCATGGGCTATGCATATAGGTGTGTAAGTTTTTTGGCTTATCTTTTTTAAAATGACAACTGTAGTTTTTTTTATTGTTTTTTTGTGTGTGTGTGTGGGGGGGTTCTTTTGTTTTTTGTTTTTTATCAGAGCAAGAAGCAGGGCTGGCATGTGGGAGGCAGGCCAGTGCAGGGCAGGAAGGGAAATGCAGCCGTCACTGTGCAGCCGGCCCTTGGGGAGCTGTGGGGGCACAGGTTGTTGCAGCACCCTACGTTGCGGGATGGCCACCAGGAAGCCCAAGCTGAGAGGAGGAGGAGGTTGTCTTTATCCTCCTCGCAGGAACCAGTTTTCGAATAAGAACCTGAAAGTTGGGATGCAGTTCCTGAAGAGTGGACAGGCACTGCCCTGGACCACCCAAGTCAAGCGTGTTCACTGAGGGCGTCTGGAAGCAGAGTAAAGACTCGGCAGGCCTGTCCAGAACAGTGAGGCAGCAGGGCACAGTGCTCCCCACCAAAACCTGTAAAGGAACCTGTTTTTGAAGAAAATCTCAGCCTGAGAGATGTAAAGGTAAAGGCCTCGCCGTTGGAGGTAGAAACAGGGCTCCAGAGTCCCATGTTTAGATGTCGGCCCAGCTCTGCCACCCCCAGCGTGTTGCCTTGGATACCGCCCTGGCTTCGGGCTGCTTCTCTGTAAAAGGAATGCTAACAGTGTGGTTGTGCCAATGGGACAAGAGAAGTAGAATCCACATAAATAGCTTTCCGTGCAGGTCCGGCCGCATAGTAAATGCTTGGTCAGTGTCGTTATGGAACTTCACATGGACAGTGGTGTCGAGCTTACCCCTAAACAATATGGCCGATACCCTGAAAGGATGGGTCAGCAAAGGGCCAGCTTCCTGAGAGAACTGTAACAAGCTTACTCGAGTCCCCTCTTGTCCTGCCTGCAGCCCACAGAGATTTCCTAGCTGGACAAGAGTTCCCAGTCCGTGTGCAGATAATGAAGCAGAGGCAGACCATCGCGGAGAAACCTGCTACTCCAATGCTAGCTTTGACTTGTTGCTCCTAATAAAGACCTGGAACTCTATTCCTTGGAAGGAAGAAGGACTTGGTGAAGTTCTTAAAAATAAACTGTTCATCCTGTGCTTGATAGCGGCGGCCTTCCCCTTGCAGGCCCGCAGAAGATTCAGTGGGACCCAGGGTATAGGCTGCCTCTTCTCTAGGCCTCTCAGATCCACCACTCTGCTCCAGTGACTGGACATTCTGGAAGACTCTCCAGCAAGGCAGGGGTAGGGACTGCTTCGTAATGGCCCAAGAGTCACCACTTCAAAGCACCTTTGCTAAGTGTGCAGTATGACCCTTCTGGACCTGGCATGGACACCAGCTTCAGAAGAGGAGGAATCCAGCTCTCCTGCCTGGCAGGCCTGTGGGTCAGGACATTTCCATATCAGTCTGCTGAGGGAGGCCGAGTGACCCATGAGACAACGAGCATACAGGGTCAGGGGTCACTCCGATCATAAAGCCACCAAGAGAAACACCCTGGAGAGTACTCCTCCTGCTAAGAAGAATAGTGGACCTTTATTCATGGCTGCAACTCAGAATAGTTCTAGGCGTAGCTATAGTTCTTGGTTCTCTGTGGCCATTCCCTCTAAGAGTCAGTAATTCGGAGGAGGCTTGAAAACATAACATCACTCGCGGTAAGAGACAAGTATATGCAGTCCAAGAGAGTGTTCTGTCTACACCTACTACCTATTTAGCATTTACTCTCTGCCAGGCACTGTTCTAAGAACTTTACCTACATTAAATCATATAATCCATATAACAATACTGCAAAGCAGGGTAAGGACAGTGACACAGAGGTTCACTATCTTTCCCAAAGTCACACCGTTAGGAAGTGGTAGAACCAGGATGCAAGCGGATGTGACTGAGCTTTCGGCCTATACCCTGTGCAGCACGTGTTATCATCAGCTCACCTGTGATAGGCCCACCCATAGGAGCCCTTATGCTGCCCCTGTGTAAATGGTGGTAACCCACGAAAGGGCCACCTCTCCCCTCATCCCAAACCACGCTCAGGCATGAATACCCTGCAGGCACAATGTTGAAATGAAACTAATTTCGCCTTTATCTAATATATATCTTTTTAAGAGAGTAGTTTACATCAGTTCACAGTTAATAATGAGTAAAGATCAGAATAAGAGATGGGCTTACCAAAGGTTCCTATAGGATCCTATAAAAGGTCAACTATTTTAAATAGTTACTTGATTAAACTTTGACTTCTCTTAGCACAAATAATATGCCTCGGGTTGCCCCAGAATTCTGAGTAGTGTTTTGGTCTTAGGCATGCAAACTTGTAAAAGCTTCCTCCCCCTCCCACAGAAGTCAAGTTGAGAATCGCTGCTCTGATAGTTACTATTCCCTCCAGCCAAGCTTTGTCATAAAACCACGTGGAAATGTGCTGTTGTGCTCTAAAGCCTCAAGTGTGTTCCACCCACCAAATGCATGGGCAGTTCCTCAGGTCCCAACCCAGACCAAGGAATAAGAATCTGCCTTCTTATAAGATACTCCGATGAATCATGCATATTAAAGTGAGATCTAAAGGTCATGTTCTGCTGGGTTTATAGACCTAAAACCCCAGTGACAGCTGCCGTGCCTCTGCTTGGCTAATGGGACCACCCCACAAAGTATGGAGTCCCACCCAGCAGCAGCATCCTCTCGATGGTGATCCCCCAATGGTACAAGCTTTTGATTCTTCTAATCACCCTTGTCTTTCATCTTCTCCTGCCACATCAACTCCACATTTTCTTCTTCCCATTTGTCAGCGCTCGATATATATTAAATGTATTTCTTTTTATTTTATTCATTGAGTATAGAGAAAGAGAGAGAGACATCAAGTTGTTCTTCTACTTATTTATGCATTCATTGGTTGCTTCTTGTACATGCCCTGACCAGAGACTGAACTTCCAACCTTGGCATATCAGGATGATGCTCTAATCAACTGAGCTACCCAACTAGGGCTCAAACATATTTCCTAAATGCTTTAACAGTTGAATCTGCTACAGAGCTATCCCACTGTTCCATCTGAATATGTGTTTTCACCATTAAGAACAGGGTCAGCCTTTAAAAAAGAAGGGAAATGCCCCCTCACTCAATCCATATTTAGGTAACTTGGCATAAAAAGAGCACAGAGTAGATCTATTTATAGGAAAACATAACAACAACTTATAAATGTAAGTATATGGATCAGTAGTTATAAATATTAGATTATCAAATGAATAATGTATAGGTAATTTAAGAAAGGATAATAGTAGAATCATCTGGAATCAGATACATGAGATAGGAATAAACATCTTTCTTAAAGGCCTTCATTTTATGGGTGTGTGTTTTGTTTTGTTTTTAATTTGCAAAATAGCTTACAGTCTTTTGGTTTTCACCGGAGTAGTCATTTAAGAAATGCTTTTTCATCACCAAAATGTGGAAATTACAAAACAGACTTACTAGTATACTGCCACACACACAAAAAATAATAGTGCTCTGTAGACTTACTGATACCCAATGATTTTTATAAGCTCTCAAGTGCTTTTCATCTGCTAACTTAGCCTTTGAAAATCTGCATCTCTATTTTCAAAGCAGGACATTTCAGCCTAAAACTACCACTTAGCTCCAGCAAGCTTTCTTGGTTGTATCTGAACTTTCCATAAAGATAAGTCTTGCCCAGCTGGCATGACTCAGTGGTTGAGCGTCAACCTATGAATCAGGAGGTCACGGTTCTATTCCCTGTCAGGGCACAGGCCCAGGTTGCAGGCTTGATCCCTAGTATGGGGTGTGCACAAGGCAGCCAATCAATGATCCTCTCTCATTAATGATATTTCTCTCTCTCCCTTCCTCACTGAAATAAATAAATATATATATATATATATATATATATATATATATATATAATTTTTTTTTAAAGATAAGTCTTTAACTTAAAGGAAAAAAAGTGACATTTTCTCCTCTTGTCATGTTTGATATAGCTAGGGAAACAATTTATAAAAACGCTTTCAAATAAATCATTTAAAACAGCTATGGAAATGTTGGGAAAGAGTCCAGACTTTCTTTTCTTTCATACTCTGCTGTGCACTGACCATTACTCAGAGATAGTGCTTACCCTGAAACCTGTTGGTCAGGAAATGGGATGTGTACTTACTTACGTATGAAAAATGAGGCTATTTCCCCAAGGTACTGCTGAAACTTTACAAGGATCGTTAAGCATTTAAAATGTAAATAGGAAGGTGGCAGCCTTCGTTTGTGTGACTAACTTAACTTGCTTAATTAAACTGCGGTAATGAAAGTTTTTTCAGTATAGGGTCTTCCACGATACGGGAGGAATTAGAAATATCACCAAATTTAGAAATGGGCAATTATGAAATAGCCAACATGTGTTTTTTATTCATTTTTATGAATTACCATTTCTAAAACTCTATATGGATACATAATTCTTCTCTTTATTGATTGAAAGCTGGGCCCAAGATTTCTCTTGCTATGGTCAAATTAGCAGATAATGTTGAGTTTTCCAGGTTAGCTATCTTAACAGGAAAAGCTGTGGAAATAACATTGCCCAGGTCCTGGGGTTAAAGAAAGAGGTGGTGCCCAAACCAGAAGGTCTATGAAGTTAATTTGAAGATGGTTAATGATGTTGTTTCATTGGAAAGAACATGCCTGCTGAAGGCTCCTGTATGGCATTTTCTCAGTGAGAAAGTCGAGTTCGTAAATGTGTATTTTCTGGTTTGATCTTATTGACTCACGGGAAACTTCTAGTCTCTGATTTTGTGGCATGCTGTCAGGTTCAAGCAGAGTTTGTCTCAAAGATTATTGTTTTATTTTTTAAGATTCTTACTCTCAGGGACCTTCTTTCACTTCCATCTATCTATCATCTAGCCATCCTTCAATTCCAAAACACTGGTTAGTAATATTTGCTAATAATAGTTGAGTCCTTAGGGCATGTCAGTAGTAGCATTTCCCATACATTCTCTTTTAATCTTTACCACAACCAAGCTAGATAAAGAATCCCAGGGAAAGTGAGGTTCATTTGCTTGTCTAAGGTTCTTTAGCTAGACATTCAAATCCAGACTCTCTATATTCAAGTATGTGCTGTTGACCACTGTGTAATATTGCTTCCTGGTAACCTCCGTCTTAGAATTAGGATCTTGCCATAGTAATATTGGCAACCGACTGACATTCTTAGGAGTCTTACCCACCTGAGACCTTTACCAAGGCATTTAATTCAATAATGGCTCTATGGTCTTTTTTCATGTGAAGCAGAAGTATTGATGAATTTCACCTTTTTTGTGTGACCATGGATTCAAGTGACCATTAATCATATGCCACTTTCTTGAGTATCTTTACATTTTGATACACAGTTTATGTTTTCTGAGCATTGTTACCATCACAGGATCTGGAGTTTAGTTTAGTTCCTCTTGTTACCCCAGGGACCTTCAAAAACATTGAGGCCCAAGATCTGCCTCCAGAGATTTCAATGTAATGATTCTGGTTGTCATGAAAGTATATATATATTTTTTAAATATATTTTATTGATTTTTCACAGAGAGGAAGGGAGAGAGATAGAAAGTTAGAAACATCGATGAGAGAGAAGCATCGATCAGCTGCCTCCTGCACATCTCCCACTGGGGATGTGCCCGCAACCCAGGTACATGCCCTTGACCGGAATCGAACCTGGGACCTTTCAGTCCGCAGGCCGACGCTCTATCCACTGAGCCAAACCGGTTTCGGCATGAAAGTATTTTTTAACTGAGCTGACTTACAACCCTTGAAATGTTCAATAGTACTTTTTTAAGTCTATTTCTGAGATATACTTCAAATAAAGTATTCTACAGTTAAGGAGCAGATAGTCTCCAGATATGACACAGGTGACCTGATCCATTTCTCTTTGAAGCATCTTATTTGCTATGTTCTGGTAAGGCTGAGAGGAGTAACCCTACCTCCTGGCAAGAGAAATGGCCAAAGGAGCCCAAACCATTGTCTCAAACCAGCTGAGGCCATTGGAGTAAAGAAATCCCATTTTAAGGGACTGCTTTCTCCACTTTGCCTTCTGGAAACACTTTCTTCTTTGTGCGTAAGCCTCTGTATTGACTGTTTTGACTCCTCTGAGGTTTCTGTTCTTTGGCAACTTACTGCCAGATGGGCTTTGAGCAAACTAGTTTTTTGTGCAAGGAATTTCCACACTTGCCTTTAATCTCTGACTTGCAAGGCTCTTGAAGAACTCATTTAGAATTAGAAGACACAGAGCAGTGCAGAGCTCCTCTCCACTTCCTTTGGGCTGGCTCGGAGGGCAGAGGCCTGAGTTCGGTGGACCCTGTGTAGACCAAGCAGAAGGCTCTGCCTGAGAAGGTGCAGGGATTGCTGGGCTGAGGTATCGGAATCCATTTTAACATGTCAGCTAAGCCAAGAAGAATGAGAAAGAGGAAGAGGGAAGTAACCGTCAGAGTTGTGCATGTATGCCTGGGCATGGTAAGAGTTTCCTTCTGACTGAGATCCAAAAGGAAAACCAGTAAAATTCCTACCCAAGCATGGTGATCAGACTTTCAGTTGCCCCTTGTGTGTGTGTGTGTGAGCCTGTGCGTTTGCATCAGCGGGACCCACTTACTGAGGTGCTCCTGTTTCATACCTACCTGTTACTGCCATTCAGCTGGAAACAGCCTGGTCACTGACTTGTCAATGTGATTCAACAGAGTTTAGACTTGTAGTGTTAATCAAAATTTTCTTAATTTCTAAGGTGATAAACAAGCATTCATCGTCTTCCCTACATAAAAGACAGTTCTTCTGCTTTCTTGCAGTTTAATCTCTGATCCTTTTATTTTTATCACCATAAATTATTTTTATCTCCATAAAAATTTTCCAGCTGGAAACCTGCTAGCTCTTCTCTTTATGGGACTTATTGCTCAGTACCATGCAATGTTTTGGCAAAGCTGCACCACTAATCCTTCAGACAGGAAAGAGAAAGCAAATGCACAACTCAACATGGTGAAGCTCATATGCATTTTGCAAAGTTAAGCAAATTTCTATTGTGGAAGCTTTTTTAAAACTTACCACTTTGGCCAAGGTTGAATATCTGCTACATTCCACTGTGCTGCTTCATATTTAATAATAGTGATTCCACCCTGGGTTTAACCTAGTACTGTTATTTATCAGTCTACTTAATGACATAAAACTCCTATTGCTAGATATGGCTTGCAGACTTGGCTTTGTTTTTTGTTTTTTTCCTTCTGCTGTCGGGGTTTAATTTGCTTCACTAACAGTTTGTTTTTTGCTCTCAGTTGTGTTTAGCATGCCGTAAACCTGGATGTCCACAATTGCATGAAATGATCAAAATGTCCATTATGAAACTCCTCACTGCCCTGTGTCTTCGTGCGTTCCCTGGTGATCAGGGGGCTGTGGCTTTTCACAAGGTATTGGACTTGGTACCTGGAGCCTCTGGCAGAGATCCAGAACTGAGGCTTTTAAAATGTCAATTCTACACTACGAAAGCAAAGGGCGTGGGATGTCGAAATGACATTGGAGATACGAAAAGAGGAAATTGATGAGCCCTTTCCCAGAAACTCAGCCTGCATTTGGACTTGGTATTCTCTTAGCTCCTCTGATTCAATGTGCTCATTTTAGCACTGCCCCATAGTAGAAAAAGAAAACCATTCATAATGTGAAAACTCATTGGCCTTTAAATACAATGGTCAGGTTTATCATGGAAACCCTAGTTCTATGAACTACCAATTTATTATTATTCTTATAGCAAGTGTAAGAAACTTTTCTTCAGAAGATGTCAGGATAGCTGAAAGCATTTCTTCCTGGGCATCTAAAGATAGCAAGTTATCATACACATGCTCATTTTTACATTTAAAAAGATACCCTTTGGTCACATGAGTATTTATGATCCCAACGTGGGCAAAATGAGTTTCTTTGATTAATCCTTTTTCTAAAAAAGCAGAGTAAACTGCTTACCTTTTCCCTTAATAAAATGCCTCCTGCAGTAGACTTACTGCAGTGGAAATGACTTTTCCACTGTTATACCCCTAAACACTGAAAACGGTGGTGACATTAAAAATTGAAATACATTTGGTATCTGGGAAGTTTTTTGCATACAGTGCTGTTTGTGTTACTTAAAATTTAGGTCCTCATGTGTGCTTTCTTTCATGGGTTTAAAGTGACTGATGTAATTTTTTAAGGAAGGTTTTATAGTGGGTATGGCTTTTAGTATTCAGTAGAATTGTATTTATATTGACATAACGTATGTAGTTCAGCTTTCAAAATAGCTACTCTTTCATCTTTAATGCTTCTGAGACTTTAAATTTCTCCTGAAATTTAAGCTTAGCAATCTGAAAGATCACAGTTATAATGATTTCTTGGGAAAAGATTTAAAGAAAATTTGAATTCTGAGGTATAAATAGTACCAGAGTGCCGAATTACACTATAGAGAATCTGGTTTCACCAAAGTGAACCAGTGCACTCATTTAGATGTATTTTCAAGGCTTTTAAACCATTTTATCACATGCAGAAATAAAGGCCTTTCAGGATTAAAACATCTTTTTTTCTAAGTATGTATAAATAGTACCTTCGAGTATATTACAATCCATGATTATCTGAGAGAATGAGTTTGAAGTTAACCTGCCCTAAATGCTAGTTTGAAAAACAAATACTTTGAAACTTGCTCTTGCTTTTTTCACATAATATGAATAAATCCAAGCCAGCTTCCAAATAGACTTTTGAGTTTTAAATGCTCATTTGGAATATTAAGCATTTAACAGGAGATAAATTTAACTGTTAGAAAATATTTACTTTCACTTAGTTAATTTTACCAAAAAGGCAATTACAGAGAGGCCTGACAGAAAATTCTAGCTTAAGCATTAGCAGCAACAAAGATTAACATTTAGTCTCTCTCCCATCTCAGTTATCAATCATCAAATTAAATTTGCCATTTAGGTGAGAACCTAGTATTTTCAATGTAGATAATCTTGGAGTTATTCCTAGAAAAATAATTTAGGCATACTACATCCCTTTTTCTTTTTCTTTTTTTTTTTTAAATATATTTTATTGATTTTTTACAGAGAGGAGGGGAGAGGGATAGAGAGTTAGAAACATCGATGAGAGAGAAACATCGATCAGCTGCCTCCTGCACGCCCCCTACTGGGGATGTTCCCGCAACCAAGGTACATGCCCTTGACCGGAATCGAACCTGGGACCCTTGAGTCCACAGGCTGATGCTCTATCCACTGAGCCAAACCGGTTAGGGCTCCCTTTTTCTTTTTGTAGGACTAAATATGCTTGGTAAAATGGAAAGGATTACATACATTATGGAGAGAAAAAGTAGACCAATTTAAAGTATGCATTTATTGTTATGCCCATTCCTATACCTTTCAGAGAAACTCGAGGCAATAAAATCTGAAAAGTCATGACATTGAGCAGCAGCATCATCAAGTGAGAGAATCTTTTCCCCAAAATTGGGATTTCTCCATGCTGCAGCCACCAGGGAGCCTCCTCAGGTTCCACTGGGCATTCAGACTCACAAGACACAAATAGGCCACAACTGGCATCATATTCCCTTGGCGGGATACAGGACAGGGAGCAGACACAGGTCAGTGGCAGGCGTTTGTCTTTCCCAGGCATCCTAACACCAATACTGAGGGGAGGCTCTGGCTCTCAGATGTCAGCTTAGGGGCAAGAATAAGAGCCCCTCATGGGTGCAGTCACGTTGGCTTAGGAGCCCCATGTTTCAACTAAAGTTGACCCTTGAACAACACAGGAGATAGGGGCACCTCCCACTCATGCAATAGATAATTCAGGTGTAACTTTTGACTCCCCCAAAACTTAACTACCAATAGCCTACTATTGACTGGAAGCCTTCTCAATGACATAAATAGTTGATTGACACATGTTAATGTTATATTATATACTGTATTCTTACAACAAAGTAAGCTAGAGAAAATAAAATGTTCTTAATAAAAATCATAAGGAAGAGAAAATACATTTGCAGTACTGTACTATATCAATTCCGTAAGTTTTAAAAAATTCATGTGTAAATGAACCCAGGCAGTTCAAGCCCATGTTATTCAGGGTCGACTGTGCTGTATATAGGAACCAACATCTCTGTACCTCCATAGTCAGAGCGTGCAGCGTTCCCTCAGAGGACATAGCTATGACAAGGGTCACTCAGGGATGCTCAAACCTGTGACTCCTTACTAGATTTTTAAAGTTAGTTTTCAGTTTTCCCAATTCAAATACAGCTTGGTAATCAGGGGGGGACATTTTCCCATAAGCCATGCTGCCTAGTAACACAGCTGACGTCCACCTTTATCAGGTTTCCAGGAGAACATGGAGAGTTAACCTAAGGTCAGGCTTGTTCATAGAGCAGCAGAAACGGCTTCACTAATCCTCTCCCCACACCTGGTAACTCAGGAGTTAGGAAATTCTGCTCTATTTTGCCTTGAAGGGAGCTTTCCCTGGTTTTAATTTCCAGCCACCTGAGTTTGTCCCAGACAGAATTCCTTGGCATATCTAAAAACCACTACGTTGCATTCTCCTCTGGTGCTCAGAAGGAATGAGCTTCTGAGAGGGACAACCTGTAGGGAAATAATACTTTTCCTACATGCTTAAAACATAGATGCTCAGGGGTTTAACATATATGTAGGACTCACTGATAGCTAGTTCTAAACCAGGCTGACTTTCTGTTTAAGAGCAATTTCATATCCTCTCCGGTTAATTCCAAAGCATGTTGGTAATACACTGATATCCATGGAGTGTGTATGTTGCTGTCTTATCTCTTCACCAGGTGTGCATTGAGACATACACATGTAGCTGTCACCAGCGTAGTATAAACACTGCTGTGCGGGCCACTCTCAGTCAGATGCTGAGTGACTTGACTTTACAGTTACGACAAAGGCAGGAGAATACGGTGAGCCCACGTTCATCACAGCCTTGCCAGTGTCTCTGTGTGTAACCGCATGTATGTGTCCCCCATCCCACACATCCCCCACCCCACACATCCCCCACCCCCCACACTCTGCCAGGGCTGCTCCTTACTGAAACAATGGAAGGGCTGGCTTGGTTTTGAAGAACATTTATTTTTGTAAATTAAGCTCCTGAAATATATATTTGCCTGTTTCACTCCAAAGCTTTGGGAGTTTTTTCCTTACAGTTTCTATCTTTTTTTTTTTAGTCATTATTTTGAAATGCACTTTTCTTTTGTAATCTTTTTTTTTAATTCTCAGATTAAAAATATGTTATATAAAAATATTATTATAACATATTAACAAATACCAGAAGTAAATTCAAAATTAATAGCAGTTAATTCCATGCTTTGAGGCTTGTATCTGTGGGTCTCTTGCTAACTAAAGACTCGTGACTGGCGGTCTCCTTCACCTGCGGGCACTGGCAGAGTGAGGCTGGACTTGTCATCTTTCTGTCATCAAAACACCCTGGAGCTTTTTGCTCTAAACTTGAACAGATTGTCTAAAATGAGTTTCCAGGGAAAACATAAATGTAATTGGCTTCTTGCATAAATTATCTTCCGGGAACGTTAATGAGGAGATGATTCCTCTTCAAAATTGCTGTTTTGTTTTTTAAATCTGCCTCTGTGAGAACTCAGATTAAAGTTCTTTTAAAATCTGCAAAAAGTATTCTGAAGTGAACACTTTGTTTTTTAGAATGGGAAATGTCAGTGACAGCCTGAAATATCTCAGAAATTAATTTTAGAATTTGAGATTTTATGTTTAACTTAAAATATTGCTAACTTTTAACTTCAATTACTATGTAATTTTTAGAAAATCATGGACTTGAGTGGAACTTTTGAGATTATCTGGTCAAATTTTTTCATTCCTCATAAAAACAGATGAGGACATGAAGCCCAAAGAGATGAAATTGAAATATAAAATTAATGAGCTTACCAGTTAGAGAGCCAGAACTAATCCCTGCTCTCCTGAGTCCCAGCCCAGGTGATTAATTGAGCTCTGGCAGCCAGTGTTGGGGAAAACAAACACTAATCAGATAAAAACTAATATTGATATTTTTCTTTTGTGTTTTCTATATCCAAAGTTCAAGTTTCTATTAAAAAAGTAGTCTTAATTTTAAATTTTTAAAATATATTTTTATTGATTTCAGAGAGGAAGGGAGAGGAAGAGAGAGAGAGAGAAAGAGAGAGAGAGAGAGAGAACACACATCAATGATGAGAGAATCATTGATTGGCTGCCTCCTGCACTCCCCCTACTGGGGATTGAACCTGCAACCTGCCCGGGACGCTTCAGTCCACAGGCCGATGCTGAGCCAAACGAGCTAGGGCAAATTTTAAGTATTTTTATTGTATTAGCTTAGTCTTTGTTAAAATTATTTTCATGTATGCTAGCATTTGAATGTGGTGGTGTGACAATATTAGTTTAAAATAAGTCAAATCTATAAATATAAAACATTAAGAGAAAAAGTATTTTTAATGGAAATAAACCCAAGATGTTGAGAATTATCATGTTCATATATGATCAATCATATTCCATCTTTCCTAATTGGCCACATGATGAAATACTGGAATAGTAATGATATCTTAATGTTTTGAGATGGAATATTTCAATACAACTTTGTAGTTTCAAAGTGATTTCAATTATATGAGTTATTTAATCTTATTTTTAAAATTTTAAGTAGGAGATTATTAGGTTTCAAATGACTCAGCCTTACAGCTCATGTTGCTCTTTTGTAAGAATGGTAACAGGTATAGTTGGTAAGAGCTGGATAAAACCCAAGGGTTATTTGCCTCTGTCCTGTGTGGCTAATCAGCCTTCTGGTCCTGCTCATCACTGACCATCTGGACTCACCCCAACTGGAGGCAAGATCCCAAACTAGGTAGAAAATTAATGTTTCCTATTACTGCCTTTCTGTTACTCATGCGGTCCCTGGAGATATTTTCATGTCCCAGAAAGACTCAGTGCTCAGTATGCTAATATTCAGAGCATCTGTGATGTCTACTAGAGAGACTAAGTCTTGCCACCTAAGAATGGTTATTTTAAAAAGCCATTAAAGGGCATGGTCCAAGGAGGCTATGTGTTCTCCCTCGGGACACTGAGCATTACCTGGGGAATCTGTGTGGTATTCAGCGTGACCCATCACTGGAAAGACATTGCAGGCCATCTCAGAATTAGAAAGACTTAATTTCTATGGAAAGAAAATCAATCTAGAACACCAAAAGCACTAACATGAACTGTGCCTTCAACCTAATGTCTGCCTGCATCCCACCCCACCTCCCAGTACAGGTTAGCATTTCACAAAGAATGTGTGGAAGCAGCTGAGCTTGCAATTTAGGGAACAGAGAATACTAGAAATATGTTCCTATAACAAGTTTAAAGACAAACAGTGCCATAGGATGATTTATATGTCTTGTAGGTGATTAAATGAAAATGCCCTCTTACTATCTTATCTCCCTGTGCTAAGTGTTGGGGAGACTGTAGAGCCTAGTTCCTATTCTCTGCTCAGTAGTCATGGAATTCTCCCTGCAATGGAAGTCCGTGTAACTATTTGTAAGTACCTTTCCCTTCCTATTCTCCCTTCCTTCAAGGTTCTGTCTCTACCTTGATAGTTCTGGATCTACCAAGCGATAGCCTAGACTAGTTGGTCTGGTCAGACAGTTGGAAATTAATATGCCACCCATCAAATAGGAAACTGGTACTTCTGACCAGCAGTCATCTTTGGACCTAGATTTTGAAGTCCAGAAACAGATCCTTCTACGACTAAGACTCTGTATTCCTCAGGTGCCAGAGTGTAGTCTGTGACCTTGGGAAATATCATTATCCCCGCAAAGGCAACTCAGCTGTTTAGGTGGGTATTGTCCCCAGTCATAGCTCAGCACCTGGAATGAGATCGTGTATCATGGGGCTTAAACTCCCAGGAAGTTTATGGACTCTTGAATGAATTATTTTTGCAACTGATAAGTTCAGTTCCAGACATATGTTTTCCTAAATACCATGAGTAATGAAATGCTATCAAGACCTGGAGGGTGAGCTTAGGTGAGTTAGCTGAGCCCAGAGCACTCAAAATGACATCTTGTGTCTAAGAATTTTCCATTGTTTAAGTCCGGGTTTTTTCTTGCCTGAATCTACTAATTGTCCTGTGTGTGTGTCTCCCCTACTAGATAATTGAAAACCCGGATGTCCCACAGGAATTCGGGAATCAAGGTATTGAATTTGATTTTCGCTAGTTCTCAGTTTAAAAAGTGAGTATTAGAATGCCTCCCATGTGCTTGGTGGTGGGGATGTAGGGATGAGTAGAGCTCTCAGGGTAGTCCACCTCTCTCCTTGGAGCTTCTGTTCAGCTTTGCCTTACATGGTATGATTAAACCAGCTGTTGTCTTCCTTCTGTTCCTGCACTCTTATGCCAGCCACCCCTGTTCCTGTCCAACAGTGAGAGGGAAAGGAACTCTTCATAGACCTTCCTGTTGGAGGCTGGTTTTTTAGTTATGCCGTTCTTTATGAAATCGGGTGTATTAATTGTTAAAGTGAGAATGAGATGGAGGGAGGTAGAACCCTGATTGGTACAAAGTGCTATTGCACCCGAAGTATGTTTGTGAAGTACCAATTTTTTGATAAGAAAAAGGAGTCATCTCACAAGGAATCTTGCAGAAGGATAGGAATCAAGGTAAGGAACTCTCATTCTGACCCCACAGGAAAAAGAAAAAACAGAGGTCTACATGTAATTGATAAGCAGTTTGATTTTTTTTTAACGTTTGGTAGTATTGTTTTCGGAAAGAGATATGGAAAATTCAAATCATCTTACCGTAAAAAAATGGAAATGTACGTTTTATATCAGATTTTATTCAGTGATTTAAAAATATTGGAAAAATTTCCCTTTTTGATATTTTTGACAGTTCACAGGGAGAAGGGGTGGAGTAGAGAGACGATGGAAAAGAGGGAATGGAAGGGAGGGAGAGCTACACACAGCCACAGTGAGGAGAAAAAGAGTAAATAAAAGAATGAGAGAAGAGTATCTGAAGTCATTTTCTAAATCACTGCTGGAGTGGTTGTTTTCCACATCTCGCCGTGTTCTCGGGCTGTGGACGAGAAGTGCTACAGATTCTCTTCACCTTTTAATGCTCCCAGTGATAGGCTCCAGCATTTTCTGCCCCTCTTTCCTTCCCCTTTGGCAATTGCAGCTCCCGTACATCTTCACTTTGTTGTAGAATGACTTTATATACCGGAAAGCAGTTCAGAGTCCTCTTGGTCAAAGATACCTCTTTAAAAATATATATTAGTACAAAATTGATGGACTCATTTGAAATTTATCTAAAATTGAGTTTAAAAACTACTTATGGGTTTTATTTTTTTTAATGTTTTTATTGATTTTCAGAGAGCAGAAGGGAGAGGGAGAGATAGAAACATCAATGATGAGCGAGAATCATTGATCAGCTGCCTCTTGCATGCCCCCTACTGGGGATGGAGCCCGAAACCTGGGCATGTGCCCTGATTGGGAATTGAACCATGACCTCCTGGTTCATAGGTCAATGCTCAACTACTGAGCCACACCAGCTGGGCAGTTTTATTTATTTTAACATGTTTTATCATTTTACCTTTCTCTCTCTCTCTCTCTCTCTCTCTCTCTCTCTCTCTCTGCCTCCCTCTCCCCCCCCCCCCCGCTTTCTTTCCTCCCTGAATTTAAGATAACAAATTCTAAGGATCAGCATTTCTCTTTCCCCTTCCCTCTTCCAACTTTACTTTTATTTCTCTCTTACACTCTGGCCATTTTTTCCTCCATCTTCCTTGACTTCATGGTCACTCATTTATTTATACATTCATCAAATACTTAGCCACATTTGTATAGATCTTTACAGGTTTTTATTTTTAAAAACACACACACAAATGCTCCCACTTGTTACTTTCCTTGGCCCAATTATTTGGTGTAATGGGTATTATCTCATCTTACCGCAAGAAAAACTGACGCTTACCCAAGCTTATGCATTCAGCAAATTGTGGACCAGTACTTAGGTCGATTCCAAATGTCAGCCTTTTCCCAGTGCACTCCAGTGCTTCTGTGAGAGTTTTATTGCTGGTTTCAGGATTTGAACATGTTTTTTATTATTTTTTCTGACATTTGCTGTTGCTCCATTAAGACCAGAGCTCTGAGGATGTTGGACAAATAAAGTGGGTGAAGATGATGACCAAATTGTTTGCCCTCTTTCTCTAGCTTCCTAGTTTGAAAAGCCCACCTTTCTTAAATGCTGCCATATTTTATCACGTTGGGATACAATTCTGCTCCACAAAACCCAGAAAAACAAGAGGTCAGAATAAGGGACACATGTATAGCCTATTGGCCTAAACATTGATAAAATCGTTGTCAGTTGTGGTGATTCTTACCTAAATGTCTTTTCATTAAGTGTGAATGAATTTCATAAGAAACAACCTATTTTCTTTTTAGACTATCTTTTGAGTATTTTACTTTAGAAAGGAGTTATTATATTAAAATGTGTTACACTTCCTTGGTGGCCTAAGGAAGTCAGCATCTAAAAATCATCTTTTTAGTCCTGAAAACATAAAAAGGAGGATGGGAAGGACCGTTGAGGGACCTTCGAGTGCGCCTGCTGATGTCTAATAACCTCCTATTTGCAGGGTCAACCGTAGAGGCCCTCTGTGACGACCTCGTCTCTGTGCTCACTGTTCTGTGTGAGAAGCTACAAGCCTCCATCAAGTAAGTGCCTTCAGAATCGGTGCTCTTATTCACTAACAGTCTATTACCAAAGTGACTTTTGTCTTTAACAATATGCAAAATATAGGCAGAGTATAGGACGATGGCTCCTCCCATTGGTATTAATTTCTGAGAATTCGTTTCAGTGACCTTGGGCAAGCCTGCATTACCCAATACTATTACTTTCTGATGGATATAACTTTCTGATGAGAAAATGCCAAGAGAGTCAGTCCCTCAAGCATGGATCTGAATGGAAAGAATGTTGGCCGAGAGCTAGTAGCTGTGAAGGCTAGTCCTCACCGGGACATACCCAGCTGTGACCCTGAGTCTCATCACACTGTTGCACCTTTCTCCTCTGTTACAGGCAGAGTTGGACTGTGTGGTCTTTTTCTGTCTCATTGAACATTTCCCGAGTCTCTGAGCTCACATGCACATCTTTAAAAAGAACATGTTACTCTGACTTTTATATACTTTTCACTTTTATGCAATTTAATTTAATCAGCTGTCAAGGATGCTTTTTCTGTACCCTCTACCCCCGTCTTATCATTATTAGGGAATAAAACAAAGACCACTAAAACTTTGAAAAGTACAAGGCTATGTTCACTACTTTGCAAGCAAGGGGAAACCAATAAGCTAAACTTTGTTTCTTCTGAGTAGTTTACTAAGGGAAAACTCTAAAGGTTTTTAAGTGCTAGAAAAGTTGGAGAACTCATGGTAATTTGCCATTAATAACCCAAAACTAGCCATTAGGATAAGTCAGAATGAGTCTGTGTGTCTACAAATGATAAATTAAAGTGTGTCTTTGTTGATTGGTCAGGCAAGAGTCCTCACCTAGGTCCAGGAAGGGCTTTAAGTTCATGGTTCTTTAAAACATGGATGTCTCTAACATCAGCTACAGGGACTCCCCATGTGTAGAGTGACCACATGACCTAGTTTACCTGGGACCATCCAAGTTCATGCCTGTTGCAATTATTATAAACATTCAGTGCTGATATCTTATAAGAAGTTCTGGAGTAAGTGGAGTTTTTCAGCTGCACAGGGCCTAGCATGTAGTAACGACTTGACAAATATTAGCTCTAAATGGTCTTTTTCCTTTCAGCATTGCCAGTGCTAATTCTAGCTTATGATGCATTTGGAGCATTGAGCTTCTTATATCAAAAATTTGACTGTAGATTATTAGGAAAACATATGGCACAAACATTCATTGCAAATGCATACAGATTAGAAACTAAAAGTCATAGATTTCTGTCAGTTACTAAAAACAAAAAATGTTTTTGAACCATATGACTAGGGAGCTACAAGCAGCCATCAAGTAAGTGCCTTTAAATGGGGAAACTAACTCCTGTGACATGTATATGTTTTTCTAGGGTTTCTGATTGGACATTGGATCAAAGATACTTCAGGCATATTGTGATATTCAGCTTAATAGTTTCCTTGCTTGGTTTTTCAATGCACTTCTGCCTCTGGATACTGTTTACCTTGTTTGAATCTGGTCTTTCCCATCATGATTCTATTACCCTAAGATGGGGGTTCTATTGCTGAAGAATCTGAGGGTGCAGCATGCTTAGTACAGCTTCAGTAGAAGACCTTTAAGTCCACCTGGTCAGGTACTATCATGCGCTTGGCTACTGTCACTCTGGCAGTTGTGTTAATTCTCCTTGTTAACTTTTCACACCTCTTACCATTTCTTCTGATTTTATTTTCATAACTCCGTGTGTTTCTGTTAGCTAAACTTGACACCTCTCTTACCTTCTAAATATCTTCTTTCTCTGAAATCACGCTATGGTCAGGACGTCCCTTCAACAACCATCTCCAAAATACCTCCTAGGACTTTAGCTCTGTAGAGATATGTATCCATGACATGTTCAGTCTCTCAGGAAGATCCAGAGAATGCATTCAGGTACTCAGAATAACTCGAATGCCTTGGAGATAAGGTATTAATAGAATTCTATATTAGGCGAGTTATATGATGTTTATATCCAAGAACTTTTGGAAGGATAATTGGGCTTAGGAATATATTTATTCATTCTCTCCCTTTTCGTCTCCCACCACCCTCTCCTCCCCACACAGAATGTCAGGGAAGAATCTGCACCAAAGCAGTCTTGGAATCCGTGAACACTGTTCTGTGTTCATCTCGTGTGTTCTAATTCCATTCCACTGCTCACACAGTGGCTTAAATCCCTCTCTCCCTTTTCTAACTGAATCTGAACTGTTTTAGGGGAAGCAGTCAGAATGGTTCAAGAGAAAACTCTGGAGGTTCAGAACGTGCCGCCCGATTGCCTGGCAGAAGTCCCGCCAGGACGGGCAGCTGCTTAGCCCCCACAGGCTCCTGGTCCACTCAGGAGACTTGTTCTCCAAGGGTCCTGCACCTGCAAGAAATTCAGAGATGAGCAGAAAATGAGGCCAGCAGACACTCAGCCTGCCAGCCATGAAATGCTCAAACAAAAGACCAGGCAAAATGACTCACACCCTCCTGCGCAGGCGGATTTTTCTCTAGTGTGTTTTGAAAGAGTTGGCTGGTTTCTAGGCTCCTTTCTGCCTTGTGCATCCTACACATTTTTCTGTCTAGAGTCAGACAAATATGACACACACACACACACACACACACACACACACAGGGCACGTGCCTATGTGTGTGTAGTGAGGGGCATGCACGGACAGTGCCGGACAGTGCTTACATTTCAGACAGCCCCTCTAATGACATGATTCGTGTATGGTCATTAGCACCTGTTTTTCCAGGTGCTGCAACCCCACAGAAAAGCTGCCACATCTGATCTCCAAGGAGACTCCCAGGCCAGTTACCTTGGCAATGCATTCCCCCTGTCATCCAGTCTGATGCCTGGGTGTTGCCACAGCCACTTCACAGATACTCATAGGAACCTGGACTGCTCAGGGAAGCTTGTGGGTGTAAGTGTACAGACACAGGAATTCCATCCCTGGCCCAAGAGTGGCTAATCATGCCTTGTCTTTCTGCCTCTTCCCTAGACACCACTCTCTTCTTGGCAAAGAATAATTTTTGAGGAGACTCAGCCTTGACCCCTATCTCCATCCACCCTCTGAGGGTTTTGTAGAGTACATCCAAACTGGAGTGGAATTCCCTTCTCAAAATCATCGCATTGTCTTTATCATTGTACAGTTCTCTTTTGACAAGGGAGATCTCTGAATCAGCAAATGTTTTCTGTAAAGGGCCACATGCTATCTCTGTATCCTGTTCATTTTTGGTTTGGTTTTATTTTACAACCCTTCAAAAATGTAAAAATCTTTTAGTGTTAATAGGCCATGGCAAGATTTCTCCCTCAGGCTGTAGCTTTCCAACTGGTTTTAAAGCATAATGTCAGTTTTACGGAGCTGTGTCACCAAGGTCCTTAACATAGCACTGAAGTGAGGGTCCCCAGCCCCTTCTTCCGATCCTTTGTCTGACAGCTGTGTGACCGTTGTGTGGATGTGACCTGGGCTTTGGGGGGGGAGCGGGGTCTGGTATTAACTTCCCTTCCTTCCTGTCTCCTTAAGTTTCGAGTCTGCCTGTCACTGGTCTTGCCTTTTCCTTCTGCCCCCTTCTCCTGGAAGTTATTTGAACTGTTAAGGGCATTAAGCTTCCTTTGGGCATATTTTCACTTTAAATCAGAAGAAAACAGAGACAACCAAAATTATTTTTTAAAACAAGTTTCTCCTTTTACTGAACATTTTTATTCTACTCAGGATTTCTGAATGAATTGTCTTAAAAATGTGTCCTTGAGCATTAAATTCTTCCTTACCTAATTCTGGTGGGTTAGGCAGCAGACGTAATCTGGGTATGAGAATGTGCATCCCAGCCCTGGCCTCGTGGCTCCATTGGTTGGAGCATCGTCACAGTTGGTTCCTACTCAGGGCAGAGGGATCTATTCCAACGCTCTTCTCTTGGCTTATAGAAGGCCGCCTTCTTCCCACGTCTCTTCACATTGTCCTGCCTCTGTGTATCCCTGTCTCCAAATTTCTTCTTTTTATAAGGACACCAGTCCTATTGGGTTTGGACCCAGTCTAATGACCCCACTTTAACTTGCTTGCCTTTATAAAGAACCTATCTCCTGAAAGGTCCCATTCTGAGGTATTGGGGGTTAGGACTTCAACATATGAATTGAGAGGAGGACACGTTCAACCCATAACACTAACCCCTTCCCCCAACTAACATTTCTGTAATGCCTACCATTTTCCCAAGTGTTCCCCACACATCACCTCTAACCTTGCCTTGGTTTTGTTCGGCAGCGACAGTCAGCAGCTGCAGCTGCTGTACCTGGAGTGCATCCTGTCCGTGCTCAGCAGCTGCTCCTCCTCCATGCACCTGCACAGGGGCTTCACAGACCTGACCTGGTGAGCGCCCCCCACCCCCACGCCAGCCCGAGGGTTTGCTCTTTCCCGCTGTGCCCGTGGGTCCCTTCCCACAGCCCCCATGACCCACCAGGCCTTTCATCTGTGTAAATGTTCTCGCAGGGAAAGTAGGGAAGCTGCTCTGCTGACATGCACCGGAGCGAAACTGATGATTACTGCGGCAGAATAGGCCTCCAAGGCCCTGTTACAGATTGTTTACATCATTGGATCGTGAGACTCAGAAACGAGGAAATTATTTTCTAGGTTATTCATTTGTTCTAAAAGCATATAAAGGCTCCGGAAAGTTATGCGGGGTGGCGGGGGAGGAGCAAGAAATACTGAACATTATTCTTAGCCCTACCCTGGTACATTTTCCATCTCAACCCGAATACTAGTCACTTAGTCATAGTCAGAGATTCATGCAAGAGATGGGGCCTGCAGGCAGCCAGCTAATTGCTCTGGGTTCCTGGGCTTATCCACAGGGAGAAATATGAATGATATGTGTCAGAATTTTAAATAAACTTCTCAAAATAATTTTGTTACTTATAGGAAAAGGAAGCTTTATAACTGAGCTATTTCACATTTTTAGTCTATTTCTCTATGTAAGATGGTTTCTTGGTGCTTCTCTTGATATTTTATTTAGTTAACCGTAGCTTGACTTATGAGAAAAAGTATTTTATTCTTATACTCACAAATGATGGAGGGACATGGAAAACTGAGGCAGGACGTAGGCAAAAAAAAGGAACAATAAAGAACCCAACTCTATAGTTATTTGTGTGGCATCTGTGTTTGCACTCAGGATAGTATTCACATTTGACCCTTTGGCTTGTCGTGAAACTCATTTTTCTCCCCACCTCTTCCCAGGAAAAACCTTTGCCCTGCTCTGATCGTGATCCTGGGGAATCCAATTCACGACAAAACCATCACCTCTGCTCACAGCAGCAGCACGAGTGCCAGCATGGAGGCGGACTCAGCGTCTCCAGGCATTTCCGACCATGGCCGGGGCTCGGGCTGTTCCTCCACCGCACCTGCCCTGAGCGGGCCTGTGGCTCGGACCATCTATTACATCGCAGCCGAGCTGGTCCGGCTGGTGGGGTCGGTGGACTCCATGAAGCCCGTGCTCCAGTCCCTCTATCACCGCATGCTGCTCTACCCCCCACCCCAGCACCGGGTGGAAGCCATCAAAGTAATGAAAGAGGTAGGGATGCACCAAAGAATACCACTGCGCATGCCAAGGACTGAGCACAGTATATTTAAGCAAGAAGCACTTGGAAAATGTGTACCAATTACCTGCTCGGACTTCATTGCTACCACACTCTATCCAGTAACAGATAGTCTCTTTAGGGTTGAGGGGTGTGTGTGTGTTATGTGTATACACGTGTGCACATACATGTGGAGCAGGGGTCAGGAGGGGTGTAAGTGCTCACTGATACAAAGCCATTTGATAATCTGAGCTGTATGCATCTGATTGGGCCCTGGGCTGAGATTCTATTCTGCTCCCTTAGGCACTGTTTGTGCAGATGTGTTTATCTGCTCATCTTTGCCAAAATTGGATTTCAAAATTTTATACTCAGGTTTTACATTATCCAGAAAAGAGTATTACTAATGGGACCCTTCGCCCCATCCCTTCTTAGGCCTTGTATCTCCTGGTGAGAATATAAGGTTGTCCATACCAGCGTGCTTCTTCATGGTTTTGAGGAGGAATTTGGGTTATTTTAAAGGTACTTTAAACAAGAATTCCTCTGCTTTCTCTCAACTAACAAAAAAGAAAAGCAATCAACATTTTTGTATTTGCAAACTTGGTTGTGAGAGTCAAATTGCACTTCCTTTTGGTACCTAACACCAAAACAACAGAGTAGCAAAATTCCCTTGTTGATGACTCATTTATTCTAAGCAATATTTGTTACTCACCATTTCTAAAAAGCTTAATTTTAAATGCTTCTTGGTGTTGTTTTAATGAGAGTTGACTGTAATGGATGATGGCAAGTTCTGATCCTGTGTTTCTAGAAATGAAAAAGCGAGCCAGATTGAATTGCTGGTTAAGAAAATCGATGAGCACACAATGATAACCACATCTTTTTCTTACCTACTATGTGTCAGGCACTTCACATCATTAGCTTTTAATATTCATGATGACTTTGCAGTGTTGAAGATCATTGCTTCAGGCAATGGAGATCAAAGGGTCAGCTTTAATAACCAACCAACACTAGGTTGGTGAATATGACATAGTTTGGGAGGCTAGACTCCGTTGTTACCACCCAAACAGCAAACCTCACCTGCAGACCCAGCCCTGCCTATTAAGCTGGTAATGTGGGCAGTAGAAGTGGGCATTTTCTGAAGAGGCAGGTCTTTAAGAAAAGCCACGCATGCTCACCTCCTCCTGAATTCACCACTGGGAAGAAGTGAGAGAAAGAGAGAAGAGAGGCCCAGAGTTTTATTCCACTGGATGCTCCTCCCATAGAAACATGATGTCAAGAAAAAGGATTTTCTCTCCTACAAAGAAACTAAGTCTTCAAATGGTCAAATGATTTGCCCAAGGTCACCAAGAGAGAGAAATGGTGCAAACGCTGGTCTAGCTGAGCCTAAACCTATGGTCATTTCCTATACCACACTTACTACTGGACTTACCTTTGATACTGCAATGCAAATTACTCCAGGAGCTCCTTTGCTGGAGTTGGCTCAGTGACCCTCTCGTAATCCTACGTTTAAAAATCAGAGTGCAAATCCACCAGCCACATTATAGTAGCTAAATCATTTAACTCTGAACTTACAATTTTTCATCTGAACATAGTAGTGATATTTTAAAGGGTGGGAGCTCAAAATGTGATCAAGTTTGTATAAGTACATTGTAAGCATAAAATGCTAAACAAATATTTGGTGCAATTATTGCTAATCTAAGGAAGAGAAAAGCAAAGCATGATGAATGGAAATACTGGTCCTCATTACTTCCTGCCCGGAGTAGTGTACCTGCTGGTCTCTTTGTCTCCTGCTTGTCTTCATTTTGTCTTTCTGAACTTAGGTTCATAAATCACCACTGTTGACAGCTTTCCCACTCTCAAATAACTCCTTATCCCTCAAGTCTGAATTCCTCTGCTAAGTTTCTAGACTGTTTGGTTTTCATTCTCTTTTCCCAGGATCACTCTTATTCCATCTGACCGACCCTGTTTTGTTCAATTCCCACCTTCCTGCCTCTATTCAGACTCCCCCGGTCCTATTGGCCACTTCCACATAATTGGTTGATTACAATAGGCTAGACACTACTGGCACCTCACATTGGCTTATTTACAGTCTCCCTTAGGAAGATGATATGCCCAGTTTCCAGATGGAGAACTGAGGCTCCATAAGAAGTTGCTATTTGCCCCAAGTCCTTGTGTGTTGTAGAGTTAAAACATGAACCCAGGTGTTCTAATACAGCTGCCTCTTTGCTGTCAAAATCCTCCTCCTTTATGGCTTTGCTTCCTCAAACCACTGATTTTGCTCTGCTTAAAATCCCATCCCATCACTTACAATTGATTATATGTGGCAAAACACTGATTGTTTCACAGTTCAGTGTGGAACAAACTTCTTGTCTCCTAAATATATTTTTGTACGTGTTGCTTTTGTATGTTTCCCCTAGTACCTGACACTGCAGAGATTGAATCAGAATAAGCGTTTAATATATTTTGACTATGACAGATGGGCCTGAAAACAGACCATTTGCAAAGAGGGTATTTTGTGAGCAGCAGCAACCTCCGAGTTGACAGGCCCTGGAGCTGTAACTACCCATGGTAGAGCCACTTGATACCTGAATGCTAAAAATACTTTGCCTACAGGGTATGTAGGTGTCTAAATGCATTTAAAATAATGTCTTGACTACTGTAAAGGAAGTTAGTTATGTTTCCCCCTTTTTCATAGATGTTCTAGCTTCCCAAGGTTATTTTGCAGGGCAAGCACAGAATTAGAGCCCAGCACCTGGTAGCATAGCGTGTCCAGGCAGTGCTGCCCCATGGACACAGCAGGTTGACGTGGGCCAGGTTGCTCTGTAAAGCAGTACCTCCACTTACTATGACAGCGCCAACAATTTGGGAAGGCTGGTAACCTAGAAACCAAAATGTGCTGGGTTTATGCACACAAAACCACTGGGCACCCAGGATGTTTGCTTAGCCTTTTGGAGTTTGAACCCTGGTGTATTATTTCCTGTTTCCTTTGTAATTTTTCGCTCTGCCATATGCCCCCTGTACATGTTCATCAAAGACATGCAGGACAGTTTGTTTTTCAAAGTATATTTTCTTTTCTGTTTCACTTTCCCCCAAAAAATACACCTTGCTTCCTTCTCTCTCTCCCATGGTTCAGCTTTAGGAGTTTCCTAATCTTTATCAGAGCTGTGACACCCAACCACTGACTTCATATCCCTCATTCCCACCTGAAGAAGCTGACATTAAACATACTGAGGGTTCTTCAGAGGCCTAATTATTCAGTCCCCTTTCCCTCCAGATTTGGAAACAACTGAATAATAAATATAAGATTAATGTGGGAATTCATATATGTAATCTAATTTATTACTGATAAATCTAGATTAGAGAATGTAATGGATCCCAAGAGAAAGGGATATTTCCCACTCCATTCCTCCTGAAATGACTTACCCTTCTAGCAAGAAATGGGGCAGCTAGAGGCCATATGCCTAACCACTTCACTTGAATGCAGGCCTAGGGGTGTGTGTGTGTGTGTGTGTGTGTGTGTGTGTGTGTGTGTGTTGGGGGAGATTTCAATGTCAAAGAAATAGAATGTGGAGAAAAATGTGGAAGCTTCATTTCTGTGCTTCCAAGAGAGCAGAAGCTTCCAATTTCTGGCATAAAAAAATAGGGAGACAGCGGAAGAAGAGTGACCTTTAGGATATAACTTTTTCTACTTAATATATCAGGAATGCAAATATAATTCACTTTGAAAATAATAGACATGGGATAAGATGTCTGTTCCAATACACTTAATTAACCAGCCTTTCTTGAATTAAGTTAGCCTCAAATTGCAATATTCCATAGACTTCTACTATATGGAAATAAAGTGAATATTGAACAAATATGAAAATTCTATACACGAAAACTTGTAGGATGCAGCCAAAGCAGTGCACAGAAGGATATTGATAGCTTCAATTGCTTATATTAAAAAACAGCCTAAACTTAGTGTTCTAATTTTCCAGCTTAGGTAGTTAGGAGAGAAGCAGATTAAATTAAAAGTAAGCAGAAAGGAGGGAAAATAAGGATAAAAGCAGAAAGTAATGTGACAAATAGGAAACATAACATAGTAGATCCATAGAGTGAAAAGTCCCAGGACTCTGAAAAGACTAAGAAAATTTAAAAACTCCTGGAAAAAGCAGTAAAAAATATTGCAGAATCATTAAAAACAAACAAAAATAAGAATGAAAAAAATGCTCATAACTATAGAAGGCACCCTAGGCCACTATATTTGATAATTTAGATAAAATGGATGAATTTCTAAGAAACAACTCAATCTTTAAAAAGTTGGCTCATGCCCTAGCTGGTTTGGCTCAGTGTATAGAGTGTCCACCTGCGGTCTGAAGGGTCCCGGGTTCAATTCCAGTCAAAGGCACATGCCTGGGTTGTGGGCCCAATCCCTAGTAGGGGGTGCACAGGAGGCAGCCAACCAATGATTCTCTCATCATTGATGTGTCTATTTCTCTCCCTCTCTGAAATCAATAATATTTATTTATTTATTTATTTATTTTAATGTTGGCTCATGAAGAAATTGAGGACCTAAATAGTCCCATTATCTTTAAAGTAGTTGAATCAGTAGGTAAAATTCTATTTAGAAAAAAATTACTGGCTGCACATAACTTTAGAAATATTCAAGGAACAGGTAATTCTAATACATGGACTTTTCCAGAGAGTAGGGAGATGGAGTACTTCTTAACCCAGTGTTTAAAGCTCGCCAACATGATAGCAAAATAAGACCAAGAGAGAATAGGACAGTTAAATTACAGGCCAATCTCTCTAAAGAACATTGATGCAAGTGCTTTCTAGTTCTGTGCTATAAAAAACTTGAAACAATCCTTAAGCACTTTCTTGGCCAAAGCCAGTCCTAAACTGGGGAGCTGGGAATCCATGAGCACTCTACAGAAGACTCAAGTCAAAGATTTGAAATACGAAGAAGCAAAAAACACCCAACCAGAAAAACAAAAAGAAAAAAGAATCCAAAAATATGAAAATAGTGTAAGGAGCCTCTGGGACAACTTCAAGCGTACCAACATCTGAATTATGAGGGTGCCATAAGAAGAGAGAGAGCGAGCAAGATATTGAAAACTTCCCCTACCTGGTGAAAAAAATAGACTTACACGTCCAGGAAGCACAGAGAACCCCAAACAAAAGGAATCCAAAGAGGACCACACCAAGACACATCATAATTAAAATGCCAAGAGCAAAAGACAAAGAGAGAATCCTAAAAGCAGCAAGAGAAAAACAGTTAGTTACCTACAAGGGAGTACCCATACGATTGTCAGCTGATTTCTCAACAGAAACCATGCAGGCCAGAAGAGAGTGGCAAGAAATATTTAAAGTGATGAATACCAAGAACCTACAACCAAGATTACTTTATCCAGCAAAGCTAACATTCAGAATTGAAGGTCAGATAAAGAGCTTCACAGATAAGGAAAAGCTAAAGGAGTTCATCACCACCAAACCAGCATTATATGAAATGCTGAAAGGTACCCTTTAAGAAGAGGAAGAAGAAGAAAAAGGTAAAGATAAAAATTATGAACAACAAATACATATCTATCAACAAGTGAATCTAAAAATCAAGTGAATAAAAAATCTGGTGAATATAATAGAATCAGGGGCACAGAAAGGGAGTGGACTGACAATTCTTAGGAGGAAAGGGGTGTGGGGGATGCAGGAAGAGACTAGACAAAAATCGTACATCTATGGATGAGGTCAGTGGGGGGGACGGTAAGGGCAGAGGGTAGGATGGCAACTGGGTGGAGGGGAGCTATGGGGGGAAAAAAGAGGAACAACTGTAATAATCTGAACAATAAAGATTTATTTTAAAAAGAAAAAAATTATAATACATAAAAAAAAAAGAACACCCAGATCACTTCTTCTAAGATTTGACTTCCAAATAGTGGTGCTTCTCCTTAGGCTGTATCACTTAGTGGGGAAAGCATATGTTCATTTGATCTCACAGTTTTAAAAACGTTTTTTATGTGATTCACTTTTTCGTTATTTCATCCCCCTCCCCCCGCTTTTTTTAATTCTAGCTACTTGGGAGCCCCCAGCGTCTCTGTGATTTGGCGGGACCCAGCTCCACTGAACCCGAATCCAGAAAAAGATCAATTTCAAAAAGAAAGTCTCATCTGGATCTTCTCAAACTGTATGATACATTCTCCTTTTTAGGTCTCTATTGCTTGGCAAAGACTGCTTCTCTGAATACTCTTGACCTTGTTTTGAATCCCTGAAATTTTGTGATTCTATACTATATGAGGTGTGACTATTTAATAACATACCCACAGACCATATGAGAACTCTTATCCCAATTTATTATAACTGTATAACTTTCCATAATTTTATATTTACTTAAAAAACCCAATGTACAAAATGAAATGTACAAACATTATTTATTGGGGTTATTTTAGAGAAAACCTTTTCCAATTAATTACAGTAACTATAGAGTTTCTCCTTGAGGATTCCTTTGAGCTAGAGATGATTTCCTTTTCCCCCTACAAAATGAAAAAGTATCTGATTTGTAATAGCTATATTCACATGTATCTATTCAGGAATATGTTTACTGTATAGAAGATGTGCACATCTATAATCATAGCCATTATAACCATTTTCTGTTTGAAAACTGAACCTAATACAATGGTGAGATATTCATTGTCTGTCACTGTGAAGATGACAAATTCCCATTCGGAATTTTGCTTGTACCCAAGTAAACCAGCCGCCCTGAGCGCAGGATTCAGGGTGGGCTGCCTTACCTGGAGGTTTTCCTCTGCCATCTTGAGCGTGTTTGTGTCCGTTACTTTTTGCTCAGACCATTTAATTTCAGGTAAATCAGAGCACATGTTTTGAATACTATACTGTCCGCAGGTCGAACAATACTTGTTTATTTTGGAGCATTTTCCCATGCTTCGTGTATTGATCCCGCTTTCTCCTTTGAACGCTTTTAGCATCATGGATGGCATGACTGAAGCGTGCATCAAGGGTGGCATCGAAGCTTGCTATGCCGCCGTGTCCTGCGTCTGCACCTTACTCGGGGCCCTAGACGAGCTCAGCCAGGGCAAGGGCTTGAGTGAAGGTCAGGTGCAGCTGCTGCTCCAGCGCCTGGAGGAGCTGAAGGACGGGCCTGAGTCCAGCAGGGACTCCATGGAGATCAATGAGGCCGACTTCCGCTGGCAGCGGCGAGTCCTGTCCTCGGAACATACGCCGTGGGAGCCGGGGAATGAGAGGAGCCCTGACATCAGCATCAGTGTGACCACGGACACGGGCCAGACCACTTTGGAGGGAGAGTTGGGTCAGACCACCCCTGAGGACCACTCCGGAAACCACAAGAATGGCCTCAAGTCCCCAGCCATCCAGGAGAGCAAGGAGATGCTGAGCAAAGTGTCAGAGCCAGAAGCAGTAGACCAACCAGATGTTGTTCAGAGAAGCCACATGGTCGCCTACCCTGACATCACGAACTTCCTGTCAGTGGACTGCAGGATGAGGTCCTACGGATCTAGATACAGTGAGAGCAATTTTAGCGTGGATGACCAGGATCTCTCTAGGACGGAATTTGATTCCTGCGACCAGTACTCGATGGCAGCGGAAAAGGACTCAGGGAGGTCTGACGTGTCGGACATTGGGTCGGACAACTGCTCACTGGCCGATGAGGAGCAGACCCCGCGGGACTGCCTGGGCCACAGGTCCCTGCGGACTGCTGCTCTGTCTCTCAAACTATTGAAGAACCAGGAGGCCGACCAGCACAGCGCGAGGCTGTTTGTGCAGTCTCTTGAGGGGCTCCTTCCTCGCCTCCTGGCCCTGCCCAGCGTGGAGGAGGTGGACTCGGCCCTCCAGAACTTTGCCTCTACCTTCTGCTCAGGTTGGTAAGCAATGTTCGCTATATAGTCACCAAGAACATTCAGAGCATACCAGCCCTTGTCCCCTTTCTGGAGTGTGGGGGAGTGGGTAGAACTGAAAATTCCAAGCTTTTAATCATGCTTTGGTCTTTATGGTGGCCAGCCCCCATCCAGGAACCCACCCGAGTCACCTCTTTAAACAAAAGATGCTCTTGGTTCTCTTATCACTTAGAAATTTACAAGTTTTAGGAGCCCTGTGGCAAGGAGGGGATCAACTACAAGTATTAGAATAAGGGATGCTCCTGGCATTCTTCTCGCTTAGGAAATACAAGGGTTTTAGGAGCTCTGTGCCAGGAAGTGCGGGCAAAGACCAATGTATATATTTTCTATTATCTCAGGGTAGTACAGAAAGAAAGCAATTAATGGGTGCAAAATTTTATGGGAGAAATAAATGATTGTCCAACCCCAGGGTGGTCAACTGTACCTCCCCCTGAAATTCAAGGGTCCCTTGACCATAGAATACTGAGGTGAAGCTAGAGAAAATCTTTACATTTGTGTTTCTGTGCCTTTCCAATCATCCAGAGATTATCTCTGAAATATATTGGTGTCGTTTCTGGGAGTCATTTTCCAGCATTTATGTGTATCTGCAATAATAATAACAATAGTACTAACATAGCACTTCCTAAACGCACCACGTTAAGAGTTTTACATGTATTAATTAATTTAAAACAATAGAGGTAGGTGGTATTGTCCTCATTTTACAGATGAGAAAGCTGAGGCATGGGGAGGTTAAGTGGTACGTTACCCAAGGTACATGGCTGCGAGTGGGGATGCTAGGATATAAACAGTCTGATTCCAGAGACTGTGCTCTTACTCATCGCATGTACCACACCAGGGAGCGTGGGTGGATGGGGGGGCGGGTGAATGGCTGGGTACATCAGAGATGCTGTTTAAGAACACAAAAACCTCTGCAGTTGATTTGTCCTGGTGAAAAATCAATCACTGGCTGAAAAACTGTAGCTCAGCCAATGTGAGATGGTTTTCCAAGTCCTGACAGATGGGTACACATGGGAAGCCAGCATGTCATTGACTCCTGGAAATCTACACGAAGGAAACACATTCCAATAGAGATTGGTACACCAAAATGTATATGATAGTATCGCTTCACAGCAAAAATGTTAGGATTAATCTGAATGTCCCCAAATAAGGGAAAAACTAAATGAGTACATCCATTTATATTATGTAGCCATTAAAATTATGTTTTCAAATAATATTTAATGATATGGATAATGCTCATAATATAATTTTTAAAAGGATTCAAAGTTAATATCAAAATGTTAATTCTTATCTCAGAATGGTATGATTACAGATGATTTTCATTTTCTTCTTTGTACCTTTTTCCAAAGAACTAAAAAAAAAAAAATTTCTTATTACTTGTATCATCAGAAAATTAGAATCATAGACTTAACAAATTTGTTCTCAAGAAAATCATATAATGTGATTACAAAGGTTTAAAAAATTGATGGTTCCCAGTATGTTGAGTGGGTAGAATAATATTCTTATGCATAGTGGGTAGAAGAAAAGATTGGTATAAAACTATTTGGAAGGTATTTTGGCCATATCTATCTATATATGTCTTTATTCTGTTCTTAGGAATTTATCCCACAGATACCCTTGCAGAAGTATTAAAAGTTATGTCATCCTTTCAGCCCTTTTCGTAAAGAACATCTTAATGACAGAGAGAATGAACTTCATAAACTGGAAAAAACAATAGCCAGAATAAGCTGAAGGTTGTAGTTCCTATAGTTTATACCCAAATTTGAGGATTACTATTACTTCTAGAAAAGTATATAATTATGAGTTACTGCACTAAGCATCCTCCATGCATTATTGCATCTAGATCTCATAGCAAACTTGTTCATTCATTTGTATTCATTCATTCAGTGAATATTTTTGAGGCTCTACTGTATGCCAGGCACTGTTCTAGACACTGGAGATTCATTCTCTAGTGAAAAAAAAACGAAGTCCCACCCTCTCATAGATCTTACATAATAGTAGATAACAGTAGTGGTGGCAGACAATAAACAAATTATCCTATATAATAAAGAGCTAATATGCTAATTAGACCAAATAGCAGAATGACTGTCCGAATCACCTTCCAGACGAAGCCAGGGCTGCGAGGGCTGAGCTCTTTGCACAGATTTTGTGCATTGGGCCTCTAGTATATTAATATAATGCTGGGTAGAATAAATGCCATTGAGGCATTCGAGTTGAAAGGGAAGGTCTCTGGCCGAAACCGGTTTGGCTCAGTGGATAGAGCGTCGGCCTGCGGACTGAAGGGTCCTAGGTTCGATTCCGGTCAAGGGCATGTACCTGGGTTACGGGCACATCCCCAGTAGGAGATGTGCAGGAGGCGGCTGGTCGATGTTTCTAACTCTCTCTCTCCCTTCCTCTCTATAAAAAATCAATAAAGTATATTTTTAAAAAGAAAGAAAGGGAAGGTCTCTGAAACCTGAAAAAATGGAGTAAGCAAGTCTAGAGATCTGGGGCGACCATTCTGGGAGGTGGGGAAACAAATGCAAAGGCCCTGAGGCAGGCCCAGGCTTGGTGAGGTCAGGGAACACAGGTCAGCGTGGCTGTAGTGAGTAGAAGGAGAGAAGGGAAGGAAGTTGGGTTTTATTTTATTGTGATGGGAAGCCATTGAAGACTTTGAGCAGGAGCTACATGAAGTCAAATACTCTGCCCATTTCTGGGTAAAAAGCTGAGATTTAGAGGGTCTTAGTGATTTTACCAAAGTAGCTGGTGAGTAGCACATAAAGATTTGCCCAGGTAGGTTGACTCCAGACTGTATGCTCTGTGCCACCAGGCTGGGGCGTGTAGCTGACCCTAGAAATATGCCTTCCAGGCTGTCATTGCTTTTCAGATATGCCCTACGTGATACATGTGCCTGTCACTAGGATTGCTTCCTGGCTGGCTGTAAGCCAGGCTGGCAAGTGCACTGCTTGCAGCCCCTAAGGCAGCGGTTCTGAACCTGTGGGCCGCGACCCCTTTGGCGGTCCAACGACCCTTTCACAGGGGTCTCCTAAGACCATCCTGCATATCAGATATTTACATTACGATTCATAACAGTAGCGACGTTACAGTTATGAAGTAGCAACGAAAATAATTTTATGGTTGGGTCACAACATGAGGAACTGTATTTAAAGGGCCAGAAGGTTGAGAACCACTGCCCTAAGGTCTCTTGGTCCTCTCCCTTAGGCATGATGCACTCCCCTGGGTTTGACGGGAACAGCAGCCTCAGCCTGCAGATGCTGATGAACGCGGACAGCCTGTACACGGCAGCGCACTGCGCTCTGCTCCTCAACCTGAAGCTCTCCCATGGCGACTACTACCGGAAGCGGCCAGCCCTGGCGCCTGGCATGATGGTGAGTGTGCGCTGTCCACCCTGACCCTGTGAGGACAGGCAGTGACCTCTGGGCTGGGATGCTGAGCGTCAGTGCCCTGTGAGGGTGGCGCTGTGGAGGGCAGAAAAAGATGTGAAGGTTTGTACTGCGCAGGGAGCGCAGACTCACCCCCTGCTCCGGAGAGTGCAGGACCCCAAGTGCCTGGACACGGCTGCCTGCCAATGGCCCAGTCATTTCATCGGGTGGCATTATTCAACACACACAGGAGACATGTTCCAAAACTCATGATCAGCAGGTTAAGTAGCAGCAGAAGGTGTGCAGGGAATGGTCCCCTTTGCTGAAAATGAAGGTGTCTTTTACAAAAACTTTTCATTGTCTTCCAAAATGTGCCTAGACCTCCTCGGGTGACCCGGAGCTAAGCTTACTCATTGTCAACAACAAAGCTCCTCCTGTAAGGTCTGGGGGAGAAGGATGGTGCTTATCCTGTGGTCGGATCTCCTGCCCCAGCCAGCCACTCTGTGGTGTCCCCTAATGTCCGTTCCTACACCTAATCCATGGAGCTGTGTGAACGGTATCAGTGATCGTTTGCTCGATAAAGTGTAGGTTCCCCAGGATCAGTGGTGGCTTCATGCATGTAAGTTTCTCTTGAAGCACCCATGAATTTTCAGGGGGCGCATTCCACTCAGCTGCTGCTGTTGGGCAGCAAGAAGAAGCCCTGTTCTGTTAAGTTTCTAATCCTCCCACACATCAGAGAGTAAAAAATATAAAATGCGGTGTTCTAATCCTTCAGCAGGGTTTCTTAAAGAGATATAAATGAAAGGACCTTCATGAAGTTTGGGACTTCTCCATCTCCCACCCGCAATCAACAGGTTTTGTTTTTCCTACAAGCAGTGGTTCCGGGGGCGTGGGGAGTGAGGAGGCAGTGGAGGAGCCTGTTTGCTGGCAGGGGGTCTGATTTGGTCATTTCCTCCTGTGATCTTCCCTGTAGAAAGAGTTCATGAAGCAGGTCCAGACCAGCGGGGTGCTGATGATCTTCTCCCAGGCCTGGATCGAGGAACTCTACCATCAGGTGCTCGACAGAAACATGCTGGGAGAGGCTGGCTACTGGGGCAGCCCCGAGGACAACAGCCTTCCGCTCATCACCATGCTGACCGGTCAGTGGCCCCTCACACAGCTCCGTGCCACTCGGGTGGGAGGGTTCCCTCTTCACATCCCCTTTCAGAGCAGTAACGGTGTTTGATTCAAGCAGACCTTAAAATGGCACCCACAAGACTGCCCTGGCAGATGGTGACAATTGGAGAGAAGTGTCACGAATTCACCTCACAAGAGTGTCCTGTCCTTTTCCCCTGTGGGACTGCGCAGCTCACTGTGCCACACTAGATAAGGACTTACTTAGCACCTCTGCCTGTTGGTGGAAAACTGTAGGGCTCTTCTGGGATATGAAGTACTTTCTGGGCACGAAGCCCAGAATTATTCCTGGAAATTCTCATATACTAGTAGATACTATTATCTGTATTGTGCTATAGCCTTCAGTGCCAGTAACGTAGAATGATTTATTTTAAACTTGGCTTCTTCCCCATTTCTTGTCCATACCAGAGGTCCTCCCCTCTTTTCCCAGTGGCACCAGAATTAAAAATAATGTCAAGTAGCCTGGCCAGAGTGGCTCAGTTGGTTGGAGCATTGTCCGGTGCACCGAAAGCTTGTGGGCTTGATTCCCAATTGGGGCGGGGCACATATAGGAGGCAACTGATTAATGTTTCTCTCACATAGATGTTTCTCTCTCTCTCTCTCTCTCTCTCTCTCTCTCTCTCTCTCCCTCTCTCTCCCCCCTTCCTCTCTCTCTAAAGTCAATAAGACATATCCTCGAGTGAGGATTTAAAAAAAATTTAATGTCAAGTAGTTGCCCAGCATCTTTGTCTTCAGTGTCCAGAGTTTTTAAAACCCTACTTAGCTATTAGAAATTTCACATGAGAGCATTGCGGAGTATGGTCATAAAGAAAATTTTGGGCAAAAGCAGCCATTCATGATGTCAGGTAAAGGTCAGGGAGGACTCAAAAGTTTGGTCTAGTCATTAGTAACCTTGATAAATTAGCTCTCCAGGCTTGTCCTATATTTGATCTGAGTTGCCAGACTGATTTCTGAGCTGAGCGATGCCGTCCTGGCTCCAATTGATAGGTTATGTAGAGTGTGGCCCCACATAGCCATCTTCCTGCCCTCTCTGTAGTGCCACATGTCCTCACACAGCTTCCCGTGGCTCTGCACCGGGCAGGGCACACTGACAGGAAGGAGCAGGACTGGACTGGGGCAGCACGGTCCAGCTAGGAGGCAGGATCTGTTGTCTAAAGGTGTGTTATGTTGCCTGTGGTTGGTATTGGAGGCTCTCACATAGGTGGCAGAGTTGACTACTGGCAGGTGAAATCCAGCAATGAGAAATGTGGGGGCTATTTAGGAATCAGACAGGGAATCAAAGCACAGAGTGAGGTCTCTCTGCAGCAAGCAGAGTCCTGATCATTGTCTGGTATTTGGAACTTTGATTCCAGAACTAGGATGGAATTTGGGGGAAGCAAAGCTAGGTCCTAAGCCATGAGGATCAGGATCACTGGACAAGTGAGCAATTTATGTTTTATTAATCATGATAACATTTACTTCCATTTGAAAAATACAAATTCTTCAATATGTGAGACATGTATTCATTCTACCCATAAGTAGTCCTTGGTTTCCATCTGTTTCATAAACCCCCTTCAGTGGAGGTTAAAGGTACTCCCCGGAGCTTAGAGTGCCTTGGAATTTGGGTGGGGATCCTAAGCCTGCCAGGTTTAATTTTAAAAGACCATAGTTTGTGCCAAAATTAATCTCTTACCTGAACCTTAATAAAAGGAGTCATTCAGCAGATGGAGAAATGAACAAATAACAAGCCATTCATAGTCACTATATTCATCAGTCATCACTGTTAATCAGCCATCTCTTTTATAATAGAACAGTAAGCTTAATTGCAATGTCCATAGGAAAGTTATCTAACTTTAGATTAATGATAGAAAAGCAGCTTTTCATAAGAGTTAGACAAAATTAGGCTCTGTGATTCTTTGTAGAAAATTCCAGTTACTAAATGACAAGTGAATTTGAGCAGCAGTTAACCTAGAGCTTGGAAACTTCCATCTCATCTTTTCATTATGTGCCAGGAAAAGCTATAGCAGCCATCTGATTATCAACACTGTCCTAACTGTGGCCATTCCTAATGTCGTGTCAAAGTGCCCTATATAATTGTGGAATCTTGGTGGTCAGATCAACTTGGCATTACTTGAATTCATCAATCCTTTTCCTAGCACACTGGAAACATGATAACTTTGATAAGTGGCCATTTCTGGTGAATGTCATTAGACTGACCACGCGTCATATTAATTTCAGTGAAACTGGTCTGTTTCCACTTTGGTTGTAATGTAGTTTTTTCCCTGTCTTCCTCCCCTGATTTTATTGAGATGTAATTGACATATGATACTGTATGAGTCCAAGATGTACACATAATGATTTGATATATGTCTGTATTGTACAGTGATCACCATAATAAATTTAGTGTACATCAGTCACCTCACGTAGTTACAATTTTTTTTTTCTTGTGATGAGAACTTTTAAGATCTACCCTCTTAGCAACTTTCAAAGAAATGTGTTGCCAGAAGTCTCTATGCTTCTTGGAGTCACTGCAAGACTCAAAAATATAATTAAATAATTTCCAAACACCATCCTGTTGGGTGGAGGGTGAAGTCCAGGAATAAACCTATGCTACTCTCTTTTCCCATTGAGTTCAGCTGTGCTAGTTGCTGCATTCAAGTACATATGCTTCCACTCCACGGTCACTTCCCCAGTGCTTACTTCCTGTTTACTGAGGAACTTGGGGCCCTGAGAATGGAGTACCTGCCTCCAGGCTACCAGCTAACTTAATTCAGAGCCAAGGCTGAAGCCCTGCATTCTCAACCCCAAGCCAATTCCTTTTTGCCAGCATGTTAGGGATTGGTTTGTTGAGCTAATTTTGTAGATGAGAGTTTAACAAAAATTTAAACAAGGTACATTAGGATCCCATATTGAGCTGGAGTGTGGTTTCATGGAAAGAGGCCTAGATGGGAGTCAGAAGATGTGACTACTGAACCTAAATCCTTCCTTGACCAGCCTCCTGGCCTGGGCAGTTGATCTACTTTGAGTATTTATTTCCTCCTCTTTGACATAGGAAAAGCAATACCTACTCTGCCCATATACCTGAAGTTGTTGGGAAAAATCTAATGAAAAAAATGTTGCGTCCTCACACTTTGAAAATTGTAAAGTATTATTATTGTTAAGATGTTATTATAGTACTATGAAATCAGGTTATACAATTATCTCACCAAAGAGGTTTATTTTATTTTTCATATTTATGAGGAAGCTCTGAAAGACAAATCCATGTTGAGATATCCTGTGTATATATAAAACTTGGGGATAATACCAGTGTTTTGAACAAAAGTACTCAAAGATCATACTATTCTAAAAAAAATAAATTTTTAACAACAGAAATAGCAGTCTATCTTTTTTTTCAACTAAAAAAAAAAAATACAGCAGCCTAAAGAAGAATGCTCTGGCAATGAAAGAAAACTGTACTGAATGGAACAAAATTTTTAATATTTTGATAAAAGGTTGCTGCATACTTGTTATGTAACAGATCCAAGGGATGTTTATTGGGGGGAAAATAAATACTGTGGTGGCCGCCTGTTTTTGACTGGACTGTGCTATTCAAGGAAAACATTGCTGTTTTACTTCGGCAGATATTGATGGCTTAGAGAGCAGCGCGATTGGGGGCCAGCTGATGGCCTCTGCTTCTACAGAGTCTCCTTTCACCCAGAGCAGGAGGATTGATGACTCCACAGTAGCAGGTAAGGGCCTTGAGTTTATGAATATACATACATCACATGTGGCACTAGCAATTAAATCATTATTGGCAGTTTCCAGGGCTGACATAAATGAATTAAGGTTTTGTCTTTGCAGAACAAGTGCCTGGTGGAAGTTACTTAGCATCATCCAGCCAACGATGGAACATTCATTATTTATAAGCACAAAGTGCAATCCATTAAACTCTATTTCCTATAGTAGAATTGCACACAGCTCAGCATTGCTATCTTGATGGCCAAAGAATCCCGTGCTGTCATTCATTGCCGGTTGTTTTTGTCTCCAAAAAGTGACCCATGCCCTTTCACATTCTAGGTGTGGCATTTGCTCGCTATATCCTGGTTGGCTGCTGGAAGAACTTGATCGATACTTTATCAACTCCCCTGACTGGCCGCATGGCAGGGAGCTCCAAAGGGCTGGCCTTCATTCTAGGAGCTGAAGGCATCAAAGAGCAGAACCAGAAAGAACGCGACGCCATCTGCATGAGCCTGGATGGGCTGCGGAAAGCGGCGCGGCTGAGCTGTGCTCTAGGTACTGGCGGGAGGAGAATTTGTGACCCACGGCCTGAGGGGTGTACCTGCGGAACACATTGGGAATGGCCTAGTGGGAAACAAGTCTTTTAGGAGAGTCTGCCAGGTGGGTGGCTAGAGAATAGACTCAATTAAGGGGTAACTTGTTTGTTTCCTCTAAAGGAGTTGCAGCTAACTGCGCCTCGGCCCTTGCCCAAATGGCAGCTGCCTCCTGTGTCCAGGAAGAGAAAGAGGACAAGGAAGTCCAAGAACCCAGTGATGCCATAGCACAAGGTAACAGCTGACAGGCCAGAGCTCACCTGGTGTCTTATGTGCGGTGTGCACACACATGCACGTGCAAGAGCAGGCACTCCTGTCCATTCCGGGTGTGAAACATGGTATAGGTTTACCACTAATCATGAGATCCCACCGGGTCGTAGGCTTGGGTCTGTTTTACAGGGGTGATCTAACCGACTGCTTATCCCTCTGAATACCAGAGGCATAATGGCTGCTCACAGGTGTTGCGTAGGACACCAGAGGTCCACCAGCTGAGCTAGTCAAACCTCTGTCGTCATCTGGCCACTGGCTTGGCACTTCACAGAGTGCACATTTGAGGACATTGTAGGTTACAGCAGAGAAGGCGGAGTGGCCAGTTTTCTGAAGGGGGAAATCAAACAGATGGAGGAACTCCCTGAGAGGAGGCACAGGAAGACTTTGCTCTTGTCAGAGAAAAACTTGAGCTTTGTGAACTCAGAAGAGAGTTGATTTTTATTTAATCAGTTAGTTAATGAAGTGGGTGATTATCTAAGTACTAGAGACCCAATGTACTAATTCATGTACCAATGGGGTCCCTCGGCCTGGCCTGCGGGATCAGGCCAAATCCAGCTCTCCGATATCCCCCGAGGGGTCCCGGATTGCAAGAGGGTGCAGGCCAGGCCAAGGATTCACACCAGTGCACATTCGGGGCCGGGGAGGGACCGAGGGAGGGCTCCAGGGCATGTCTGGCCAGTCTTGCTCAGTTCCGATTGGCTGGACCCCAGCAGCAAGCTAACCTACCTGTCATAGCATCTGCCCCCTGGTGGTCAATGCACGTCATAGTAACTGCTCAACTGGTCAACTGCCCCCTGGTGGTCAGTGCATGTAATAGGAAGCGGTTGAGAGGCCTTAGCATATCATTAGCATATTACGCTTTGATTGGTTGAATGGATGACCATATGACGGGACACTTAGCATATTAGGCTTTTATTGTATAGGATAAGGAAAGAAGATGGCCTTCCTAATGAGGAAGATAAATGGCAAACAGCCAACAGAAGGAAAAAATGGGAAGCTTGGTCCAATGTATGCGAATGCTATGTATCAGGTATATACTGTAAAGTAAGCTAGTGACAGGAACATGGGGCACATTTTTAAAAGCTGAGAAAAACAGGCTGGGCACTGTTCCTCAAACTTGAACGTTATATATAGATCCATATGAAAGCAAAGCAGTACTCACAGATCCCAGTATTAACTGAAAAAGGGTATCACAATTGCACTTAATATGCACGACCATAAATTATATAAAAATTCTTACATTTAAAGCTTTACAACTTCAAAATGAAAACTAATATTCAAATTATATGCAAATAAAAAAATCAATATCAGATGCATGTCACAAATGATGCTTTGCTAAAAGTCAATTTGCCCCTTGCAGCAGGAATACTCTTCGACTTCCTCTGATGTGAGCGTGCTCTATTTCTGGGTTCTGGCTCATCACTCATTGTCCCACCAGGGCTGTCTTCCAACAATTTGATACCCTTATTCATGGAGAATGTCATCGTTTGGCCTTGTCTTGGCATTTAGCATAATTGACATCTTAAGTCATCTTCTGCATCCTTTCTCATTAATATTCTACAATAAAAATTATTACTTGAAGGTCACAAATATAAATGTAAACTCAGGGAATGAAATGATATGGTAATTTTTAGATATAAAGCAGTCATCGTGACATTCAGAGCATAATACATAGGTTGCTTTGGGTGATCATCATCATGAAGGCGTAACATTAAATCTCAGAGAGAACTTGCAGAACATCAAGAATCCTTCCATATTATTACTTTGAGTACACAGGGGCAGGGAAGGGTCTGGGCCCAGATGGCTTTAGCTGGGGTCAGCACATGTAGCCTGATCCAGAGCCCAGGGGTGGGCCTGGAGGAGCTGCACCCACCAGCTCAGATTCCATCCAACTTCTGATGTCACAGAGCTGGAGTCTCCAGTGTCGGTGGGGCCCGAGGGCTAAGGAACTTGCATGATGAACCACAGGGACCTGCCATGGAGGAACTTGCTGCCAGTGTTGTCTTCTGTTTCCCTTTGCCCTTGCATGATAGCACATTTCTTCCTCTCCATCCATTCTCTCTCCCTTTCTGTCTCCCTCACTCAGAATGCTATTTTAATGAATGTCTTTCTGGCACAGTGAAACTAAAAGTGGAGCAGAAACTGGAGCAGATCGGGAAGCTGCAGGGGGTGTGGCTGCACACAGCCCACGTCTTGTGCATGGACGCCATCCTCAGTGTAGGATTGGAGATGGGAAGCCACAACCCGGACTGCTGGCCACACGTGTTCAGGTGCATGGCGGGATCCCCACCCCGCATGGCACCCACCCTGCCATGGCATCCTGAGGGTGATGGAAGGGGTGAACTCCAGGGTCTGCAGCCCTTAAACAGAGGGAATAGTTCGAGAGTTTGGGTAAACCCCAAGTGAGAGATTAAAAAGAGAAGAGGGACCAGGGGCCCAACTGAATGTATGTCATAGAGAACATACAGGATAGGATTCAGGAGATTATGACTAGATTATGGACATTGTCTAGGAGAGGCAGATGTGTTTTACAAAGGAAGAAAAACCAATTTCTTAAATAGTGGATGATAAAAGCCATGTCAGTTAATGAGTACTATGTGGATCTAGAAGCTGGCCATGTGTCAGCAATATAATATTGCCTCACGTTTGTTAATGTCTTCTCATTTAAAGAAGGATGTTGGATAGCTTACAGGGAGACACAAAATACAAGAGGGAGAGAGGCAGGGAGATGGCTGTCCCCAGAGGAAGGAGGAAATTGGGGAGCACTATAACACTAGCTGAATTTCCTTTGTGTCTCAGTGTGGGATTTGCAGAGCTGGTCCGATTGAGCTGCGACTTTACCAGCTGCTTGTGTGTCACTCTCTAGGGTGTGTGAGTATGTGGGCACGCTGGAGCACACCCACTTCCGTGATGGCACCTCTCAGCCCCCCCTGACCATCAGCCAGCCCCAGAAGGCCCCCGGAGGCTCTGGACTCCTCGGGGACCTGGAGTGTGAAGGCTCACCCCCGGAGCAGAGCCCGGAGCAGGAGAGCTCCCTGCATACCGCCCCGGTCATCCAGCCCCTCTCCATCCAAGAACTCATCAGGGAAGGCAGCCGCGGCCGGGCCTCCGACTTCCGCGGGGGCAGCCTCATGACCGGCAGCAGCGCCGCCAAGGCTGTGCTCACGCTGTCCACGCAGGCCGACAGGTGTGTGCGCACCCCTCCTCACCACCCCCCAGAAAGGCCGCTCGCCACAGAGCACCCGTCGCCTATTGGCAACACCACATCCATCTCTTCTGGTCTCAGAGTCACTCCCGGGACAGCCTGATTTGTTCACCAGTCATTTAAGCTTCTTAATTTTTTTCAAACATAGCTCTGTCTCCTGCCACGCCCCACACTTAGAATGACCTGTTGTCTAATGACTAATTGGAGGCTCTGGAGGCAGGCTGCCCGGACTCCAGGCAACTTCAGCTCTGCATCTTGGAATCGGGTCATGAAGTAGCTCTCTCACAGGATAGCCGCGAGGTTCAGTTAATCAGGACACTTGAAGCACTGAGGACAGAGCTTGGGAAATAGTAAAAATCCACTCTTTTTATGATAATTAATATTTTAACACCCCACACCCAGAGTGTGATATATTATGAAGTGATGCCCAAAACCACGTTAAGTTTGAGAGAGAAAAATCAGCAATAAGTCCAGCTGTGTGTTGACACTTGGATGTTGACAGTGCTTTTGGTCACCAGTCCCGTGTTCTACCGCCTCACTTCACTCTCCAGACTTGGTGGTTGTGCCCTGACCACCCAGCACAGGTGCAGTGGGGTTTATCAGGTGAGAACGGACAGCAAGGGGGTGCAGGGGAGGAAGCGCACCCACTGGCTGGGGCTCTGAACACCCAGTCTTTCCTTGCTCTGACAACAACCAACTGCAAGGTCATGCCTGTCTAAATAGTTGCCCTGAGACTCAGTTTCCCACTTCATCTACTAACCCAGGACATGTACTAACTCAGTACAATAGTCCCCCTTTTTCCTGTTTACCCGACAAGGTGGCTGTGCAAGTATTTTGGGGCCTGGATGCAGGTGTCAGGTGGGATATAACGTTCACTGCTGTTGTTTCTTACAAGGAAAGGAGTGGTTCATGAGCTACAAAGCCCAAGTGGTATTAAAACTGGAATCACAAAACAGCAAGAAAAGTGTTTGCTACAATGATTTGTGAATGAGTTCACTGATCTGTGTCTCATGTTACCCCTTCAACGGGGGCTTGTTATTTGGTTTCTCTTAGAGACACTCCCTTACCCAGCACGTGGCACCCCACGGGGCTGCTTGCCCTCGGGTGTCACCGCAGGATTGGAGGGTAGGCATTGGGGGACCCAGTGCAGGGGAAGGTTGGCTCGCCTCATTCCTCATGTGGCCACACAGACCAAATTTGGTCCTAACATTCCGCTTACCAGTGAGCCTGTGATCCCCCTCAGCCCTGCTGCCTGCGCTCACCCCTCCTCCCTAACTCCTGCTGGAATGTCTGTGCCCGGCTGAGTGGAAAACAAGAGAACCTCCAAGGTCCGTTATGTGAGGGAATATTCATCATCCCAGTAGGTCCTGGAGCTCCCACCGTGTCCTGGGCCCCGGTGCCTGAGTTGGGGGGGATGAGGACAGTCCCCGCGCTCAGGGAGCTTACAGGAAGGCATTTCCTCCTCTTGTATCCCCGGAGCCATGCCCACTGTTATACTCATCAATGTAGTCCATCAAAAGCCTTAATTAATTTGCTTTAATGTAGCTTATGAGCTTGAAGCTAATTCTGAGGATTCCATCCCCAGTTGTTCATTTTCTAGGAGCGATACTTTGCCATCTTTCAACTTCTTGCCAATGTCTGAACTATGCCTTGGGGCACCAAGATTCTTTTTTTAAATGTGTTCTGTGCCCTTCAAATTAAACTCTCAGCATTAGAGCGTACTCGTACACAGTCATTAATAAAATAGCATACATTGTATTAATCACATCTAACAAAATTACCATAATCATTCTGCCATAAAGGCTTTGCTGGATTGTTTCCAAGTAACAAATCTCTTTGTTTCATCCAGGCTCTTTGAAGATGCTATAGATAAGTTGAACCTCATGGCTTTGGGAGGTTTTCTGTACCAGCTGAAGAAAGCATCGCAGTCCCAGCTTTTCCATTCTGTTACGGACACAGTTGATTACTCACTGGCAATGCCAGGTAATTCTTTCCCCGAAGAAACTGTGCTGTGAGATAAGCAGGAAACAGCCCAGACCTCTGATACCAGCACCCTGCCTGCAGACTTGATTCCACACTCCCTTAGCACAGGCTCATTTGTCTTCTAGTATTGGGGCATGATGTGTGTGTAGGTGAGGGGTGGGATCATTCTATGTGAATGCAAATGTCGCTGCTGCCACTGTGACAGGCATTGCCGCTGGACCTGGGCTAGGTTGTCCTGCTAAGTTTTGGGCTTGTGATGATAGAGGAATTATATGGCTACTCAGAGTGCAGAGAGCTCTCATGAGGGTGGGAACCCTTCTGCATATCACAAACCACACCACTCACCTCAATCCAGGCAACTTGCAGACACCACTACTGATTCCAAACTGGACGGTGGGGGAGAAAACTGGAAGAATCAACAGAAGCCTCATGCCACCCCTAGGAAAACTGCTCGCAGGGCACACCCTTTAATGATGGGTCGCTGTCACTGTTTTCGCGCAGGAGAGAGCAGATGAAGGCCAGCCTGTGGAAGAGGGAACAGAATGGTACTGAATCGTCCCCTGGTCTCAGATGGGTGGCAGGCTGCCCCTACGTGCAGCTGTCCATGAGCTGCCGGGTGGTTGTGCTGAAACAGGGAGCACCTTGTCCCGCTGAGTCCAGGCAGAGGCACAGAGTCCTGTGGTGGTTTGGACTGCACAACCTCAGGCCCCTTCCATCTTTAGGAATCTGAATTTCAAAATGTAATATATTTGGCCTCTTGATCCTATGCAGATTCTAATTTGAGAACCACCATCCTTTCCCCACTAGTTTTTTTTTCCTTTATTGATTAAGGTATTACATATGTGACCTTATCCACCCCATTCCCATTCATGCCCTCACCCCCCTGGTGTCTGCGTCCATTGGTTAGGCCTATATGCATGCATACAAGTCCTTTGGTTGATCTCTCCCCCTTACCCCCACCCTCCCCTACCTTCCCCACTAGTTTTTAATAGGCTTTAAAACCTTAGCTGTATAAAGCCAGCCTTCCAGAACCTCAGCCCCCCAGAGCATCTCTGAGCCCAGGGAAACCTTCTGAGTCTTTGACATTGGAGAAACCAGCAGACTCTGAGCCTATAAAAAGCAATGAGCAGGGTCAGGAAGAGGCTGCAGACCCAGGCAGAGGGAGCACTGGCCTTTCAGTCAGTCAGATGTGAGTCCAGATGCTGCCTTCATTATTTACCAGATGCAGCATCTTAGAAAAGTCAGCTCATCTTTCTAAGTTTACTAACCTGTTTACTAACCTGTAAAATGGCAGTAATTACATTTACTTCTTAAGGTTTGCTTTCAAAATTAAAATGGTTAAAGATGCAACGAACCAACACAAAGTCTGAGGCAGAGTAAGCATTCCATAAATGTCAGTGATTGTTATTACTGTCATTTTGAAGTGTATTTGATATGGCAAGACTAATTAGAAGCATTTTGGTTGGGAGAGCCTGCTAGTGAGCTTTTTGTAGGCCGTAAAGGCGAAGCAACAGGACATGAGCAAGAAGGGAGTGGGGAAGACTAAGGTAACAGTGGCAAAGAAGCAGCAAGCGATCAGAATGGGCAAGGACGGTATGGAAGTGAAACAGGCTACACAGCATGTTGTTGGGTAGCAAATGGGCCTGACTTGCTTGGCAAGGGCTTTGGTGTGGCCACTAAGGGCTGGCCAAGTGAACGATGACCATGAAGAATGACGATCACAACAGTCATGATAGTAGCAAGAGTGTGGGTCAGGTAGTATGTGTCTGCATTAAGCACTTTATGAATATTGTTACTTTCAGTCCTTAAAATAACTTCAAGAAACAGGTTCTATTATCCCCACTTTTACAGTGAGAAACCGTGGATCAGAGACATAAATCTCTGGTCCAATGTAACCCAACTACTAAATGGTGAAGAGAAGAGTTGAGCCCAGGCAGCCTGACTCCACAGGCCTCCTACTTAACCACTACGTCGTCACTCTCCCTAATCGACAAGCACTGTTCACACTGTCACGGCAGCCACTGGGAAGGTAGTGGCGAACAGGAGAGGTGCGCCCGGCCTTGTGAAGCGAACCACCTCCGTCTCTCTTGAATCCAGGCTCCTCTCCTCTCTTGGATAGCACTCACCGAATCATCCTGCTGGCCTGAGCACAGTTCTTCCTTTTCGTCCTCTCTCTGTGCTTGAACAGTCAAACCCTTCCTGAGTTTGGGCTTTATGGCTTCTGTGGTCTTCTCTTCTTGTAGGAGAAGTGAAATCCACCCAAGACCGGAAAAGTGCCCTCCACCTGTTCCGCCTCGGGGACGCCATGCTGAGGATCGTGCGCAGCAAGTCCAGGCCGCTGCTCCACGTGATGCGCTGCTGGAGCCTGGTGGCCCCGCACCTGGTGGAGGTGAGTCCCTGGGAAGTGGGCAGCTCGGGGACTCCTTCAGCAGAGCCAGCACCGGGGTCGCCAGTCAGTGTGTGGCACAGAGTGCTGTGGCCACAGTGCAATGAGAAGGTTCCCATCATCTGGTCCCAGCATCATAGTTCTGTGATTATACCTTGTGGCATCTGAAGCATCACCCCAAAGGGCAGTGCTACCCTGGTCTCATCCTGACCCTCTTTACAGTTCGGCGAGGTGCCTTCCACGGCCAGTTTTCATTCGTTATGACCTGGTGTCGACCTGAGTCTGACGCTTTATTTTTATACATGACTATAGCAATGCCTTTTGTTTTGTTGTCTCTCTCTCCTACTAGCTAACTATATTCTGGGCAGTGACCTCTTGGTAGGAGAACCATACCGAGTTTTCCAACAAAATTAGTACTGGGACTCCCTTCACTCTCCAAAGGAAAGCAGTTCACTTGACACATTTTATGGCAACTCACCATCTCAGTGCATGATGACTGGCTACTGCTAAGTTGGTGGGAAAATTGTTGCCCTGTTTTACAGTAACTATTCTTAGTAGCTCGTTAGTGCCTATCGGGTAGAGATGTCTTACCTGGTAGAGATATTTTGGGAACTTAATTCACTAAACTGAGAGCCTTCTGGTAAGGAACGGGAGTGGAAAATAATAGCTTATGGAGAAGCAGTATATCAGTTATCTACTACACTTTAATAAAGCTTCTCCCAAACCAAGTGATTTAAAACAACAGCCATTTAGTTAACTCAGGATTCCCTGGGCCAGGTGTGTGAGCTGGGCTCAGATGGCACTTCTCCAGTCTCAGCCAGGCTTGGCAGATCTCAGCTGGCCTCACGTCACCTGTGGCCAGCTTATCCGTGATGGCCTTGATTGGGACGGCTGGAGAATGGGCGCTCTCCTCCTCCAGCGGACTAGCCCCAGATCATTCTCATGGCATTTTTAGAATTCCAAAGGAAAGCAAGAGAGCAAATCACAAATCACAATGACTCTTCAGCTCTCCATTTGTAAAAGATTTGATGTTGTTCAAAGCAGGCCGCGCATCCAAGCCCAGGGGGAGGCGAGGAGACTACTACAGAGCCTGGAAACAAGGAGCTCTGGACCAATGAGAGCATTATCGGTGCAGTTGGCCTCCCTCACTGAGGGACAGATGATTCCTCGGGTCTTTATGTGTTTGGGACACAGTTCACAGTGAGCCCATAGGCAGCTCTGGTGCCTTTAAAGTCAGCATGTTCTACATCACCGAGCAAACTGTCCTATTACCTAAAAAAAAGAAATTACTAGATACTCTCAGTTTCCTAGAAACATTTAAGTGACATTGGAGTTGTGACTAAGCAGTTTGTTAGATTATTAAAAAGACAATTTAGTGTGCTGTTCATCTACCCGTGCCCCTTGAAATGTTTTTTACTGCGACAGAATTGCTGCCTCCACCTCCCTGCAATGAGGTGAGTTAGGAAACCTTTGGAAACCAGATTCTTCCTTGCCTGGAGTTCTGATGGTGTTCTCTTCTCTCGTGAACCTGCAGGCTGCCTGCCACAAGGAAAGACATGTGTCTCAGAAGGCTGTCTCCTTCATCCATGACATACTGACAGAGGTTCTCACAGACTGGAACGAGCCACCTCATTTTCACTTCAATGAAGCCCTCTTCCGACCCTTTGAGCGGATTATGCAGCTGGAGCTGTGTGACGAGGATGTCCAAGACCAGGTCAGTGGGTCCCGGTAATCAGCATCGCCGTCATCGTTGCGGCTAGCTCTTCCTGAGTGCACTGGCAGGCATTGTTCTATGAAGTTTGCGTGTTCACCTTCCCACTAATCCTATGTGGAATCTGTGACAAAGAAAGGTGAATCCATTTAGCTGAGGATACATGGTCAGTGCTTGGAGGAACTGGGACTCGAACCTACGTAGTTGCGCTATTCTGGTCTATGCTCTTGTACCTAGTCTACATGAATCGTCTCTCTGAAATCTAAATATGTTAAATAAAGACTTAAGCCGTAGCCTGTTTGGCTCAGTGGATAGAGTGTCGGCCTGCAGACTGAAGGGTCCAGGTTCGATTCTGGTCAAGGGCATGTACCTGGGTTGCAGGCTCCTCCCCGGCCGGGGTCCTGGTTGCAGGAGGCTACCAATCAATGTGTCTCTCTCACGGCAATATTTCTTTCTGTCTTTCCCTCTCTCTTTCACTCTCTCTTAAAATCAATGGAAAATATCCTCAGTTGAGGATTTAAAAAAAAACGAAAAAAAACATGGAAGACTTAAAATTGTTTTTAAATACATTGACACTCTGGCAAGAAAGTAAAGAATACAAAAATGTAACAATTGGAAGCCACAGAAGTAAGCAGAGCTTTAAGACGGGGTTTGCCTCGACAGGATTTGTCACGAGGTGAAACTAAGTTCTGCTATCACATTTTTGAGGACAGAAGAACAGAAAATAAATGTTTAATGCAAATCTTTAAAACTGGTGTTCATTCAGACCAAGGTTGCATTACAAATGAACCCAAGTAGCAACCTCCCTGAAGATATGATCAGCCTGTTTCTAACACTGGCTCTTAGTAAAGATAAAAAAATAACTCCAGTATTAAAATCACAAACTGGCCACTCTGTGGGGGTCAGTGCATGAAATTGCACCACCTGGTGGTCAGAGAAGCTTTGCACAGGCATTGTACAGAGCAATTCCCATAAAAATCCAAGCCGACTTTTTAAAGATATTGGCAAGATAATTCTCAAATTTATATGCATATTCAAGGGATCGGGACTAGAGGAAAACAGATTTGAAAAAGAAGAACAAATTTGAAGAATTTACACTACCCAGTTTCGAAACTTCAGTAGTCAGCACAGTGTGGTATTGGTATAAGGATAGACTTATAGTACGATGGAGCTTAATAGGGAGTATAGAGATAAATTCTCACACGTATGTTCAATTAATGTTTTACAAAGATGCCACTGGAGTTCGATAGAGAGGATGTTATTTTCAACAAATAGTGTTTGAACATATGCAATAAAAATAACCTACACTTTTACCTCAACATATACAAAAAAATATCTCAATATGGATCATAGGCTTAACTGTAAGAGCAAAAACTATAAATATTTCTAGGAGAAAGTATAGGAGCTGACCTTTGAGACCTTGGATTAGGCGAAGATTTCTTAGCAATGGTACCAGCGTTGTCCATAAAAAGAAAATGTGATGATGCTCACTCCAGGAGCACATGTGAAAACTACAACAATACAGAGATTAGCACAGCCCCTGCGCAAGGATGACATGCAAATTCATGGAACTGTCCATGTTTTGTGCAGTTCCCAAGCATCCTGACCGCCCTTTGCTGATTAACACAAATACACATCCAAAAAAATTTTGATGAATTGGGCTTCATTAAAACTTAAAACTTTTGCTCTTCTAACAACATTGAAAAATAAAGACAAGCCCGAGGCTATGAAAAAGTATTTGCAAATTATAGATCTCAGGAAGGATCTGAATCTAGAATACATAAAGAATTCTAAAAATAGCCCTAGCTGGTTTGGCTCAGTGGATAGAGCATCGGCCTGCGGACTGAAGGGTCCAGGTTCGATTCTGGTCAAAGGCGCATGCCTGGGTTGTGGGCTCGATCCCCAGTAGGGGGGCGTGCAGGAGGCAGCCAATCAATGATTCTCTCTCATCATTGATATTTCTCTCTCCCTCTCTCCATCTTCCTTCCTCTCTGAAATCAATAAAAATATATTTTTTAAAAAAGAATTCTAAAAATAATTTTTAAAAAGACAAGGATGAAAAGACAAAGACCCAATCTAAAACAAAACAAAACAGTAAAATATTTATAAATGGCTAATAATAAGCTCATGAAAAGTTGCTCAGCAACATGAATCATTAGTAAAACGCCCATTAATGCAACATGACCGCTTACTTAGGTGATTTTTGCATGAGTTTGCCTGGGTTCTGTTAATTCTCTTTCACTAAAATTAGCCCAGAAATAGGGAGCAGAAATACATCACCCTTCCCAGAAATTCTCCTGCTTCTTTTAAGAGAAGGATTTTACATGCCACCCCTTTGCCTCTGCCAGGTCGTCACGTCTATTGGTGAGCTGGTTGAAGTGTGCTCCACCCAGATCCAGTCGGGCTGGAGGCCCTTGTTCAGTGCCCTGGAGACGGTGCACAGCGGGAACAAGTCCGAGGTGAAGGAGTACCTAGTTGGCGATTACTCCATGGGTAAGATAGTGTGTGGGTATGATATCCTGAAACTTCACTGAATTCCTCTATTAGTTCTAACAACGTTTGTGCGAGTCTTTTAAGACTTTCTGTGTATAAGGCCATGAATTGTACCTCTTCCTTTCCAAATTGGGTGCCCTTTATTTCTTTTCCTTGCCTAAGTGCTCTGGAGAGGACTTGAGTAGGAGTGGTGATGGTGGGAAGGATGTGGGGCTGACTTTTGCTGTAGAGCATTAGTTCTCTCAGCCCAGTTTCATGCTATCAAAGCAAAGTGAACAATAGGGAAGCCCGGCATTCAGCCGGGCTTTGTCAGCAGGAAATAAGCTGCTGTTGCAGGGACAGGAGTTCTGAGTTCGGCCAGCAGGTGAGAGCCCCGAGCACTGTCAGGCCCTGCTCTTACAGATTGGATGAAAGACTAAGAGACTCCTATTGTTTTCACTTAAGCAGATCTGTATTGAGCTAATGCCTAAAGCCAAAATGGAAAATGGGATCCACTTGCTAGAAAGAAGCAGAAAACGATCATAACACAAGCAAATCCAAATCCAGGAGGCGGGGTCTGGATGGAAATGGATGGGCACCCCGAGGGCATGCCCAGCAACCAGGGGTATTGTGTCAGGGTCCCCAAGACCACCTCCACTTTCAGAGACCACCAGAAGGACTCAGCAGATAATCATGCTAAGGTTTATGACATGGCCCAGATTTATTCCATTGTTCACAGCTAAGAAGCAGGGTGGCAGCATAGGAAGGATAAGCCAGATTATAAGGTAGAAAGACAGACCAGATCTGGGGAAACCCCTGTCAGGCTCTCACCCTCCCATGATGTGTCCCACGGAGCACACTTTTACCCCAACAGTGAAAAATGCAGCCATATGATATAACGCATCAGCCCAGGAAAGTGCATTAGAAACCCAGCTGAGGGAGGTCCCGGAGGTACCTTCCGTGTAGCATACACCAAAATTCCTGACTCCCCAAAGGGTAGCAGGTGTTCAGAATAAACCACATTGTTTGCACGTCTGGCACCGTGAACTGCCTTTGTTCATTAAGTGTTGCCCGGGATTATTCTGAGAGTCAAGCTCCCAGACTCCAGCCAAGGGCCAAGCTTGCAAGCAGGCCTTAAAGGACAGCAGTCTCGGGCCTCCTATGTTAATTCTTTTCTGCACAGGTATGAATAAAGTAGTATACTCCATCAGGGATTTAGCTAAACCTTCCCTTCTCTATAATTGTGCAGAGGCCCACGTTTCACTGCCCTATAGACCTGCACTTGCCTCAGCCCCGCATAAAGCCAGCTTTGCCCCATCTCTCCCCTCAGCTCTCTTTGTAGCTTTCCTGCAGCTCCCCCTGCAGGCAAAGCTAAGAAGCACAGCACAGTTGTCCATTCAAAAGGCACTGGCTTTTCTTCAAATTTTTCTAAGGCCCCGGGAAAGGTGCAGGAAGTATGGGCTACCTGAAGGGTAGAGCCTTCACTTCCTTAAAATTCTATAATCTTCCTCCCTCAGGAAAAGGCCAAGCTCCAGTGTTTGATGTATTTGAAGCTTTTCTCAATACCGACAACATCCAGGTCTTCGCTAATGCAGCCACCAGTTACATCATGTGCCTTATGAAGTTTGTCAAAGGACTGGGTAAGTGGAGTCCTCCTTTCATGCCTTGTGACAGCTGGGGACCCTTTCCTGCATGGCTTTGTAGGGAAATCCCCAGAGACAGGCCCTCTGACTGCCTGGAGCAAGCCAGCAGCCTGGGACAGGAGCAGATGGTGTGTGTGACTTCGTCCACGGCTGGCATTTTTCATTGTGTTCACGGAATAATCTTGTCATGAAGTATGTTTCCTGTTACTTCACAGACCACTGTTTTATTTAAGAAGCTCTAGCTTTGGTATTCCATTGTTCAGTAAAGAGTGGAGCGCCTGCTCCCTGGGCAGGGCAGCTTGTTTGTACTGTGGGATAGAAAGATGAATAAAACATGCTTCCTGCCTAGGAGACGCTCTGGGAAACAGACACATAAATCAATAATTACAGTTCAGTAAGATGAGGACTTTCATAGAAGCTCGTGAAGAAAAAAAAGCCACTTAAGCTGAAATGAACAGGCAGCTGGGAGGAGGAACTGGTCATGCTGTAGGTTTCTTACAAGGACTGATGTTACCCCAGAACTGGATATCCAGGAGAGGAAGTCAGATGTGGAGGACAGGACGAAGTAATGAATTCTATCTCTGCACATCTGGACATGTTGACTTTCAGTGAAATATTCGAGTGCAGATGCTTCTCTACATGTTAGAAATTTGGGATTTTATCTTAGGGAGTTGAGACCTGAACATAGAGATGCAGGATTAGCAGTGTGCACATGGAGAATATTTAAAAACAGGTGGGTCCTAGTTCTTTCTGTGAATTACAAGGTGGAATTACTAGTATTGAGCTGGGGGTACTGGGACGGTCTGAGCCCCCAGCATGCTGGCTGGATACTGCCCCCGGCTCCAGGGGGTACCATCTGTATAGCCTTCGACTTTGAAATACTGTGATCCGCAAACAAGGAAATGAATTTATTTTTAATTCCCACTTGGTTATTTCAACATGAATTTGACCTAGTCTGTGTTTTTATACTGTAATGTGTGTTCATCTAAACCAGGAGTTTGCAAAGTCTGGCCCACAGGCCAAATCCAATCACCAATAGTTTTATAAATACAGTTTTATTGGAGCACAGCCACGGTCATTCGTCTGTGGCTGTTTTTATGCAGCAGGGGCAGGGTTGAGAAGCTGCAGCCAAGACAGTCTGACCTGCAAAGCCTGGAGTATTTCCTGTCTGGCCCCGTACAAAAACATTTGCCAATGTCTGAAACATAAGAAATGTTTGTCTTTTCTAAGGAGAACATGCCTCTTTGTCTGCATCTGAATGTTAACTAATGCCTAGTAATTATGTCTGTTTACTCACAGGGGAGGGTGCTAGTTGCTACAATTATAGACAATTAGAAACAATTACAGTACTTTTTATTAAAAGTCGAGAAATAGGTTCATTACATGAGAAGAAAAATCATTCTCAACTACTGTTTGCCTATAGAAAAATCTAGAAACCCTCTACAGATCTGTAAAAAAAAAAAGAAGAAGAATTTTATTTCAACTCAGTTACGTAGCCTCTATCCCCAAACCCCAGATGTTCAAAATCTTCCCTGAGCTTCATTTATCATCGCCATTTAGTGCTGAGCACTGGCAGCAACATGGGGTCCTTTTCCAGTGGAGAGAGGCCTGGTGCTGCATGCAGCCCAGCACACGGATCATCCTCATCAGAGCTTCAGAAGTCGCACTGTCAGCAGCGGGCCCCAGGGAGCGAGTCCATGTGCCCAGGGACAAGAGAACACTGTTCGGCCACGGCCAGTACTCTGGCAGGACAGAGAGAAAATGCCCATTGTTTGGTAAAAAAGGGGCGTTACAAAACAAAACAATCTCAACCACAAAGGGTGTGCGGTATGCTCCCACCTGTGTTCAGTGTGTACACATACATGCAGGGGACAGAATGAGTGAAAGGATTTTTCTCAGGGTTGTACACGTTAAGTATTTTTTTTTGTCTGTTTTAGTAGATATTGGGTGAGTCAGTGCTGTGCGAGTAAACAGGTCTTCTGTTGTAAGGGCATAAACAAGGATAGCTCTGTCTCTGTCCCCCAGGGGAGGTGGACTGTAAGGAGATTGGAGACTGTGTCCCGGGACCAGGGGCCACCGCCCCCGACCTGTGCCTCCCTGCCCTGGATTACCTCCGGCGCTGCTCTCAGGTACGGGGTTGCTCATGCCAAGTCCCGGGCCCTGGAACCTGCCTCGGGAGATGCTTGTGTCAAAAGACACCTGTGGGTGCCTTTGGCTGAGGCCCAGGAGAAGCACTGTCTACTGTCTCTGAGGTGATTGGGACTAAGGTTTGGAGCATAAATGTTTGGTTCCCCCCCACCCCCTTTCACGAAGGAGAGAGAAAAAGTAATAACCATGTACTAGAACACAGTTGGACCCCGAGATCTCTAGCGCTTCTCATTTATTCTCAGATGAACTACCATCATCTCTGTATTTGTCAGGCTGTCAAGGGTGGAGTCATGAGATCCCGGGAGATCTTCCTTATACACCAAAACGGGGAAAGTTCGGGTGCAGCCAGTGAAGAGAGACACAGAAAAAGTAAGAGGGATCTATTCAGCCAAGGGCTAGTAGGCAAGTCCAATAAAACATCACCTGTCAGTATGGGCAGTGACCTTAATTATGCTCAGTCCAATGCCTGTGGAACAAGACGACACACTGTCCTTGAAGCCCTTCCTCCCCTGGGCTTCGGTGACACCTCTCAGATAGATTTTCTCCAGTCTTCTCAGCTGGTGTCCCCAAGGCCCCATGTGCCATGATTCCAGCTCTTTCCACCTCAGATCCTCTCCTCTCACTCACTGTGCTCCAACCACTCTCCCCTTCTGCCCCTCACATCTGCCCCTCTGATTACACCCAGGGCTTTGCTGCTCTCTCTGCCCAGAATGTTTCCTCCTCAGATCTCTGTATGACACCCTTTATCTTCCAAATCTCACTGGAAGCATTGCTTGTCAGAGAAACCAGGCCTTTGGTATCTACCAACTCCCTGCCAACGTTCCCCACACACCATGGCCACTCTCTATAGTACCACCTAATGTTCTCTATAACATTTACGTCAGACATTTTATGAATGTCTGCAAAGATTCTTGTCTGTAAGACCCATGGGAAAGGAATTTTGTCTATCTTCCTCACAACTGTTTCCCTGGTTTCCAGAAGACGATGGTCACAGCAGGCAGGATTGTAATTTGTGAAGATATAAGGATCCTTGGCAGTTTGTTTCAGTAGCAGAGATCCTTAGGGGACCGGGCTCTAGTGGAGAGAGAGGAATAAAGAGCCCAGGGCAGTATTTTCCGTGACTGACCTTGCCCAGAGTTTCCTCGTTTCCCCATTGCCCCCTGTGTCCTTGATGTGGGGTCACATGAGGGGGAATCGGAGTCTGGTATCTGATTTGCCTGCAGACTCTCTTCTCCGTGATGCCCATAGAACACCTCCTCCCATAGGCAAACAGTCTTGACATGTGACATGGTTCTCTTAGTAGGTTCATACAAGTCTATAAAACTCATAGGCAATTGAGCTGCTGGAAAAGTAGTCCTTGTGGTTTTTTTCCTCTACCTTTTTGTTGCCATTGAATGCTATTTCATTTGCTTCCTGGGATAAATGCCTCCTGCGAGCTAGCTTACGAAGCCAAGTCACAACCACTCAACTTTAAACCTTTCATCCAGTGGCAGCTTCTCTGGTTCTCTCTCCCCTTTCTATAACTAGTATATTATTTTATTGTTCTTTAAAGCCCAGAGTGTAGCTTTTTCCAACATGTAACTGAAATTTGGTATTTTTTTTTATTTAGTTATTGGCCAAAATCTACAAAATGCCGATGAAGCCAATATTCCTTAGTGGGCGACTTGCTAGCTTGCCTCGAAGACTTCAGGAGCAGTCAGCGAGCAGTGAGGATGGCATTGAGTCGGTCCTGTCTGATTTTGATGATGACACTGGTAAGGTTCATCGATTAGATTAAATCAGGTTATTGGCTGTGTCCGTATTCTCAGAAGCTTAAGCCATGAATTAAGTAGCTTATAGATCTTGAATGATCATCCATTTAGGTTGTTATTGTTTATGATTCTAACAAGTCTACCTAAAAGTTTCTATGGGTTCTCCAAACTCATTTCACAGTTGATGCCTCCACCTGAAACCAGTGCAGATTCTGCTAAATATAATTTCTAACTTTGACTCTCTTGAATTTAGCACATTGGAATCTGGTTGCATTGGTACTTAAATTGGCTGGTAATTGTCTTTAATTCCTTCTAGGAAACGCAGTCATTATATAATTACTTCCTGCAGGACTATTTGGTTAGAGACTGGGGAAATTAAGCCATTACTGAAGAGAGAATCTATTTGTGACTGGCAAAGCTAAAGACTCATTAAGAGAATAATTTTAAAGAATGTGTTCCAAATTAGTTCCCATGTAATTTCCACTTTGGCGTATTTTCAGACCGGCTACTTCATGCTCCAACTTGCTGACCCTGTCCTATTTCTAGATGTAGAAATGGAAATTATATCCCTAAAAGGGGTCTGATATCTGCAAATGGGTTATTTCCAACCCACACAAAAGACTTTTTAGGGGAGGCTTCTTAAATTTGCTTTTGTGTTTGTTTTACATTTTTCTCGTTTTATTTTTCTATTACAAATTCATTTATGGGGGTGGCTAGAAGATTTACAGTTTTCTAGAGATTATAAAACCTCACTAGTTCAGGCTACTTATGAGAAAGAATTATAGGAATAACTAATGTAGAGAAAAATTAAAATACTGGAAATTGGCTACATGTTGCTTAATAGAGGTTTCATTTTAATGGTTAGATTAGCATTGTAAACCTCCAACTCAGACAATTGTAGGCAAAAGCTAATGCTGCTCATCTATAATGTAATTTTTAATACAGTATTCAGGGTGTCCCAAAAATGTATACAACCACTTTGAATAATTATAAAGGCAGTTTTTATTAAAATACATTTCTTTTTCAAAATTGAGCTATCAGCGTTAAAGTATTTATACATTTTGAGGGAGGAAACCCTTTATGTAACAGTGGGCATTCCCTTCCATGTATGCAAATCATTAACCCATTTTTTTTCTTGTGGATAAAGTTTAGCCAAGCACCCACATAAAGTTTCCTACAGTATAAATTTATTGAGGGTTTTAAAGTTATAATTATATAGGAAATACAGCTAAATCAGAGAAAGGAATAAAAGTAAAAGCTTTAAGTTAGTATTAACAATTCTCACCATTTATATATTCTGAGAGATTTCTCTAGTTTCCAAAGGCAAATGATTATTTTCCCCCCTATGGACATTTCACAGACACATATAAAACTAGACAGAGTGGTATAGTGAACCTTAATATATCTATCACCCAGCTTCAAGTATAAACTTATAGTCAACCTCATATAATGCAAACACACACACTTGCTCACTCTCCATGTCCCTCACTCCCTACCCACTTCCTCCTTCCTATATTATTTTAAAGCAAACCTGAGACATTAGTATGTGTTCTTTAAAGATAACAACCATAAAGTTATTATCACACCTAAAAATTAACAATCACTCTTGACTAACATCAAATATCTATTGTGTAAAATTTTCCAATGTCAGTTAATTTTTAGGATTCACATAAGATCCATACTATATGTTTAGCCGACACGTCTCGTAAATCCTTTTCAATCTACAGATTTCTTCTCCAACTTTAACCCCTTTTCAATGTATTTGCTGAAGAAGTGAGGTACTTTGTCCTGTAGAGTTTTTCATTTGGATTTTATTAATTGCACCCCCCATAGTGCTTTGTGACATGTTTTGTCCTCTGAATTTCCTATAAATTAGCTTATCCACACCTGCTCTTACAGGGTGGGGCAAGAGTAGGTTTACAGTTGTTCCTATGGAAAATAATGCAATCCTATATCATAAAAGCCTAATGTGCAAACCGACGGAACGGCAGAATGTCCGGTCGCTATGACGCACACTGATCACCAGGCACCGGGCCTCTAGTAATAAATAAATAATAATACAAGAATAAACTCCATGTTTCACGTACTCACAACTGTAAACCTACTTTTGCCCCACCCTGTATTTTGAAGTTCATAAGAATTTCTTATCACCTAGTTTTATTATATTTATTGTTCATGATTTTGGTTTTGCCTCCTATTAACAGGGATATTTAAAACTGGGTAAATAGGTTTTTTTAATGGAAACGTTTCTTTAAATATGTTTTTATTGATTGCAAAGAGAGGAAGGGAGAGAGAGAGAGAGAAACATCAATGACGAGAGAGAATCCATTGACTGGCTGCCTCCTGCACACCCCCTACCTGGGGTTCAAGCCCTTCACTGGAATAAACCTGGGACCCTTCCATCCACAGGCCAATGCTCTATCCACTGAGCCAAACCAGCTAGGGCAATAGAAACATTTTTAAGTGCCATCTTCTGACGCAGTTTTATTTTGTGGGGAAATTTGAAGTATTGACATTAAAATGTAGAGTGGGCTGTTTTTTTATATTCTACTCTAGTCCTTTTCTGCACAGTTTTCTGAGCTATAGGTCCACATATTTCCAGACAGTGATGTGCAGAAATGTTGGTTCATACAGTGCTTGCATAAATGACAGAACTAAAATGATTTGGATCTAGTAAAAAGGATTTCATGTTTTTTCTCTCACCTGGTAATGAGCAGCACTAAGAGTCAGTGTGTTATCTTAAAAATGAAACTCTGAGAAGAGAAGAAAGAGGAGAGTTGTGTGCTGAGGGCAGATGAACCTACTGACACTGGGGGCACCACTTTCCCAGCTCTGAGCAACACACACAGTGATGTGTGTGCACGCAGGGGTGAGAGGGCGCCAGAATTGCGAACTGCCGTGTGGACAGGTAAATTCAAAATAATTTATAGACTACAAAAAAAAGAAACCAAAGATGAATGACCTTTGGAGAAAACGGGGCACTAAGAAGAGCAAAGATAGACTAGCACAAGCAGCAAGAGAAAAAACACAGATAACGTAGACTTCAAAATTGAAAACTTGTGTACATCAAAGGACGTTATCAAGAAAGTGAAAAGACAGCCTAAAGAATGGGAGCACGTATTTGTAATTCATATATCTGGTATGGTTTTAATATCCAGAAGATAGAAATAATTCCTAAAATTCAACAACAAAAAGATAACCTACTGTAAAAATGAGCAAGGAACATGAATAGCTATTTCTCAAAAAAAAAAAAAAAAAGATATACAGATGGCCTGTGAGTATCAGTGAGTACATGAAAAGAGGCCCAATAATACTAGTCATTAGAAAAATGTAAATCAAAATCATGATGAAATACTAGTTACACCTCCCAGGGTGGCTGTAGGTTAAAAAACAGCAACAGAAAATAAGTGTGAGCGAGGATGTGGAGAAGTTGGAGCCCCCATGGGAATGTAAAATGGTGCAGTTTTTACGGAAAACAGTTCGGTAGTTCTCCAAACACCAATAAAATTACCATAGAACGCCACTCTTAGGAATGTACTAGAAGAATGGAAAGGAGAGACTCACACATATTCCCCAGTGTTCACTGCAGCCTTATTCACAGTAACCAAAACGTAGAGACAGCACGTGTCCAGCATGATGGACAAAATGTGGTGTATACATACAATGGAATATTATTTATCCATAAAAAGTAACGAAATTCTGATACCTGCTACAACATGGATGTGCCTCGAAAGCGTTATGCTAAGTGAAATAAGCCAGACACAAAAACAGCAAATATTTTCTGATTCCACTTACACAAAATATCCAAGGGAGGCAAAAGAGAGACAGAAGGTAGATCAGAGGTTACCGGAGGTGTTGGAGTGAGGAGAGAATGGAGAGTTATTGCTTAATAATTATAGAGAGTTTCTGTTTGAGGTGATGAAAAGTTTTGAAAATAGATAAGCAGTGATGGTTGTACAACACTATGCATTTAATTGATACCACTGAATTGTACACACAAACATGGTTAGAATGGCATTTTTATGTATACCTTAAAATAATATTTTAATTTTGACTAAGGTGATAGAACTAAAAGGACATTATATTATTTTGCTATCAACAACTCCCAAGAAATATGACAATCATTTCATATAGAATTTACAAACCACATCACCTTCTTCCTGAAGGGGAATAAGGAAGAAATTTGAGTGTTCTTTTTTCTTCGACTTTGTCAGAATATGTAAATTATAATCTGTCCATATACAGACCCTGAGGGCTGCCTTACTGGGGGATGCCTCCCATCCACAGATCTCATGGCAGTTTACTAGTAGAGACCTCCTTTACCTATTTGGCCTTGCAGTGATTCTGTGTCCGGTTTAACCAAATGTCACAGAGGTCTGGTTTTGCGTTCCAGGTCTGATAGAAGTCTGGATCATCCTGCTGGAGCAGCTAACAGCAGCTGTGTCCAACTGCCCACGGCAGCACCAGCCGCCAACCTTGGATTTGCTCTTCGAGCTGTTGAGAGATGTCACCAAAACACCTGGTAAATATTTCTATGTCTGTCATTTGGGGCAGGTGTCATACATATAATGTTTATCAGAGGGCCTACCTATTTTACTGCTGTAACCCTGGACAGCATAATGGGTGCTCAATAAATATGTATGGAATGGCTATGATGTTTAGAATATGTCCTGTGATTATTTACAAGTCTTCCTACCAGTCCATTTACAAATAACGTGTGGCGGCCAGTAAGCTGAATGTGTTGGAGCCCCACAGTAATCAGGCTGTGGTATCGATGTCTCCGTGAGCGAGCTGGCTTTACTCTGTTCCATAAACCCAGCCTTGTATCTCACATGTTATTGGCCCCAGAGCGGTCGATAGGGTTCACAGTGCCTCCCACTGACATAACCAAACCGTTCAAACATATATGCGGTATTAAGACAGCAACATCTTGATTGTATAAAGGTCAGAGGAAATTAAATTTGTAAAATGACACTTAGTGATCACCTAGTACCCTGATGGTAGAGGAAAAGAATGTCCCTTAGAAATGTATCGCTTATTCTGAATTAAGGTTAATATATACACTTATCCAAATTTTCCTAAGATTAAAGAAATTTTTATAGATTTTAGTTTTCACTAACAGAATCATAACCACAAATGAAACCACTAGTTTATAGTAAGAAGAGAGGTTTTGTATCCAATATAAATAGATGAAGGTTTGATAATTGATACTGTTTTAAAATCTATTGCAAACTTTATATTGGAATTTTTCCCCAGAAAATCATAATAGCTACTCTCACATGTTAAAGTGTTAAATGCCAAAATAAACAGGTATTTTACAGAATGAATTATATGCCACTGCCTCTAAATCTCTTATTGGTCATTACCATTTTCTGCTTTCACATTTAGTGCTACTAAGTGTGTGAATTTAACCCAGTAATTCTACTCCTAGAAATCTGTCATCAAAGGAAATTAACGGTAATGAAGACAAAAATATAAATGTGTTAAATTAAGTATGGTAAAAGCATATAAATATTCTATAGACATGAAAATGAATATCTGAATAATATTTAATGACATGAATAATTGTTTATAAGGCATTACATTAAAATATATACACATATACAATATGGAGTATAATCTCAACTTTATGAAATTTTATACATTTATAAATATACACACACACTTTCAAAATGTACTTTTTTCTTTGTATTCTCATGTGTTTTCTGTGTTGATTATAAAAAGGATGCCTCATTTTTGTAAGCAGAATTTTTAAAATTCATCTTTCTTACAAAGATTTTCATTATGGCATTGACTATAAAGCAAAATAGAGAAATGCTACAATGTCCATTTTAAGGGAATGGATAAGTAAACTGTTGCATAAACATACAATGGAAAAATAGTATGTGACAATAAAAATGAGGATTACGTAAGTTTGTTGACACAGAATGATCTCTAGCACATATTGTTAAGAGCAAAAATTCAACATGTAGACCAAGGTTTACATTATCCTATTTATATAAAAGTAATAACAAATACAACTCTGTTTCATATATATACACACACTTACATTTTAAAGGTATTTTCTTATATGCATGTACTAGTATGTATCTGTATGTTTACATCTGGGGACTAAGTAGTTGATCAAGTGATTATTTGAATTCATGTATTACTTGCATAACTAAAATAATGCAGAAACAAAAAAGAAAAACGCCATTGGAGATCTGTATTCCCTAATCAGTGGTAAACTGTTTTTCCCTGCACTTTCTCAGAGAATGGGGCGCTCCCTCAGAAGAGGTCATCAATGCCAAGATGGCAAAAAGCTTTCCTTTTTAGAAGAGAGTTGCTGGAGTCACGATTCTGATGCTGACTTCTTTTTCAGGACCAGGGTTTGGTATCTATGCAGTTGTTCATCTTCTCCTTCCTGTGATGTCCCTTTGGCTCCGTCGTAGCCATAAAGACCATTCTTACTGGGATGTGGCCTCGGCTAACTTCAAGCATGCCATCGGTCTGTCCTGTGAGCTGGTGGTGGAGCACATTCAGAGCTTTATACACTCAGGTATCTGGCGCCCGAGCAGTTCGCATGGCATGTTTCATTAGCGGGCAGCAACATTGTCTAAAAGAGCTTACTAAATCCCTAATGCAAATACCAGTGCATGGTTTTTGTCCTGGGAATTATTAACATAGAATTACATGGTCAAGACCAGCCTTCTAATAGTTAATGGTCAAAAAGAAATTGTTACCTAACAGAGAGACAAATGGCAGGGGATGGGGTGTTAGAGAGCAACCAAAGGACTTGTACGCATGCATATTAGCATAACCAATGGACACAGACACTGGGGCAGTGGGGGTGTCAAGTGGGGAAAAAGGAGACATATGTAAAACTTTAGACAATAAATTAATTTTAAAAATGATCTAACAGAATACTTAAAATATATGTGCAACCAAAAGTAAGATACCTAATAAGGTCTAGGATATCTGTGCATTAGGAGAGGGGAGGCAAGTTCAAGTATATATTTAAAAGGGAGAAATATCCCTGCAGCCTGGGGGTTGCATTCTACTGTCCTGCTTCATCTGTGGTGGCTAAGTGAAGGAGGCAGGGTTTTAGAAAAGGCTGAAATTATGGGCAAGAAGTTGCTTAACAGGTTAAGGGGTGAAGATAAGGTTCTTAATATCTGTGGAACTTTGAAAAAAGACTTCAAAGTGTGGGGTATGTGGAAGTCCAGGTAGAGAGGGAGCCAGACACAGGGGAGATCTGACTGCGCTGGTACCAGTGGGCAACATTAGGGAAACAGATTCTTGCTCATGACTCTTGTATGGGAAGATCTGGAAATTCGAGAGGAGGAATGTCGCTGCTAGCTCTAGAGGTTGCAAAGAAAAGGGAAAGGCATGCAGAAGTATGAAGGAAGAGGTGTGAGAGGCTCCCTTCTAAGGAGGGGTTAGAGAAATTAATGAGAACTTGACCCCAAGGGAGAGTCAAAAAGCAAAGGTAAGAAGTAGGTTCTCTACTAAGCTTAGCAGAAAGATTTACCCTTTTGGGGGAAGGGGGGACCTAATTGAGGAAGAAAAGAAGTGGGTGTTTGCACATGTAGACTGACAAGTGGATCCCTAGGGGTAGATGTTCCTGACCAGCTGCTTTGTTCAGTATGGGGCCCTTGAGGATTCTACTGAAAACTGCTTCTGTGGCCTCACAAGGACTTTGAGAAGAATACTGATGTGTTCCTTGAACTGGGCAAACAGAATGTGATTTTTGGAAGTCTTATTTTCTTTAGCCTGGGGGTAGTATGGAGACCAGACTCAATGGGTTCAGGGAGTGGTAGGATGAGAGATTCTGTTGATTTCCAATAGCTTTTAATCCAATTTAATTCTATCAGCAGTAAGGAAAGTATGTTTCATCTCCCCCCCTCCCCCACCTTTTTCAAGAATTGAAATGTTTTACTAGCTAGTATTCAGGCTATATATTATATTCTACTTAAGTAAATAAATGATATACTTAACTATGAAAAATGTTCTTGAGCACATAAAAGTGAACCACATATTTCATCTTGATAAATCAAAAATGGATATTATATATTTTCATCACAGATATTTTCTTATCACTCAGACTTCCCTCCTATGCAGTACCTTCTTTTGCAATAGTGTTGAGTGAAACTTGCTGTGCCTCTTCCTACAGACATCAGGTATGAGAGCATGATCAACACCATGCTGAAGGACCTCTTCGAGTTACTGGTAGCCTGTGTGGCCAAGCCCACGGAAACCATCTCCAGAGTGGGCTGCTCCTGTATTAGGTGAGAAAAGGGTTCCTGACTCTCTATGAAACTGGAGTTTTTATTATGAAATCCAAGGGAATTAAATTATCCTTTGTGGTAACAATCTACTTTTTAGATTGTTTTTTATAAAAATAACTCTATGCTAATATTTCTGTGTTCAGTTGGCAAATATTTATTGTGTAGGCATTACACAGTGCCCTGCCCTCAAGGAGCAGGGGGCCTATGAAGAATCATCACAGTAAGGAGTAACTATAAATGCTGAGAAAGGACAGCAGTCAGGTGGTCAACAGGGCTTTTAGGAATGATACTTGATCAGATCAGGACTTTGCAGGCAGGAGAACAGCATGAACAAATACATGGAGATAAGAATTACAAGTGACAAAAGGGGTTTTTATTTTGTTTTGTTACTGGTAACGGAGTAGTATGGACAATAGGGCTAGAATGGAAAAATTAGTACAGAATGTATACAGTCTTGCATGCAAGCCTAAGTGTAAACATTGGCCTGTTTGGAATGGGGATCCATTGATATTTTTACATTAAAATGGTTTGGGAAGTAGTAGTATGACCATGAAACACCAGATGGACTGAAGGCAAGAGTGATGGGACAGCAAAACCTGTAAGGACACTGGGGAACAAATGTGTGTCTGTAAGGGTCTAAGCTTTGCAGCAGTAAAATGTATGGGTTTAAGACGTCTGCTTGCTTCTGGCAGGTACGTTCTCGTGACAGCAGGCCCCGTGTTCACGGAAGAAATGTGGAGGCTGGCCTGCTGTGCCCTGCAGGACGCGTTCTCTGCCACACTCAAGCCCGTGAAGGTAAGATGCTGGGAGAGAACCAGGGCAGGGTCCAGTCCTCCATAGTTCCCTGCCGAGTTGGCCACCTGGATTCTGCCTTCCTCAGAGCAGGCAGTCTCGGACCCAGTGACAGTGTCAGGCCCCACTGCCATCCACCCCGAGGCACCCAGTGAATGACTGCTGTGTTTCTCCTAGGATCTGCTGGGCTGCTTCCACAGCAGCACCGAGGGCTTCAGTGGGGAAGGCTGCCAGGTGAGGGTGGCGGCCCCCTCTTCCTCCCCCAGTGCCGAGGCCGAGTACTGGCGCATCCGAGCCATGGCTCAGCAGGTAAGGGCTGGGCCTTTTGATCCCAGCGGCGCTAGAAGCTTGACACATTGCTGGGAGTCCCAAGCTGCCTTTCACTTCCTTAGGGACCTTTGCCTCTTGCCAGTACGGTTCTTCACCAGGAATGACTTGAATCCAATTGATAGCATGATGTTCCTCCCCATCATCTGTTTGTTGCATCCTCTAGAGCCCTGGGCAAATAGGTATTCAGACTGCTTCTAAGTATTTGCTGAAATATTTTTGTCACTGCTAGACTGTAAGCACCTAAGGATGGCACACTTATTTGATATTTTTCTCTTCTCCCATACAGAGGACAGAACTTAATAGAGTTGAATGTAACTGATCAGTAAAGTTAAACTGTCCTTACCCTTGCAGGTTTCACCATGTACTTTTTCTTTGGGCACATGTCAAAAGTTATAATACTAGAGAAGCCAAAGGGGTGGCTTCTCTAAATATAAAGCCATTACACCTAGCTAGCTAAAGAATTTCCCCAGGTGCATACAGTAAGAAGTGAAAATGTCCATGGAATCCTATTCTGAAATAGATCCTTCATGGAGAACAGCCAAGACCATTTAGTGAATCTTTTACTTCTTAATATTTCTTTCTTCTTCAGTCCCAAACCTTCCTCCTATATTCACTCTTCACATAACCCACTAATCTGATAATGCTTACAAAATTTGGAAAGAAAAAGTTCATTAAAATACTCATATTTTCAAAGGAAAGTACGTTAAGTCATGTAAAATGAAATCACGTGGGTCAAATGTAGGATGTGGTTACCCTTCTCTTAGTCACTTCTCCTGTCAGGACTAATGATGTGGGCATACTACTCTACTAGACAGCAAGAGAAGTCCTAACTTTTTTTTTTGGATTGGATAGAATAAGGTACCAAACAGATGTCACAATCAAAGAAGATCTTTTCCAAACATCACCCCCCTTTATTACTTCTAATTAATATTAAACATCAGTGCCAGCTCTTTGGAGAGTGTTGAATTGTCACATGCTAGAAGTAGTAGTGTCAGCAGCTAACATTTATTGAATATTTGCTATTTTTATCTAATGTTTGTCCCATGTAATACACATGTACTAATTTATTTAATTCTCTTGACAAATATACCTGGTAGGAAACCATTATCAACCTCATTTCTTAGGTGAGAAAATGAGTAGAGAGAAAAGCAACTTGCCAGCTAATCTCTTGAGTCAGGTGGCTCTCTGAACTGTACCCATACAGGTGTTTATGTTGGACACCCAGTGCTCACCAAAGACTCCAAACACCTTCGATCATGCCCAGTCCTGTCAGCTCATTATTGAACTGCCTCCTGATGAAAAGCCAAACGGACACACCAAGAAAAGGTAAGCAGCGAAGCTTAAACACTTCGAGTCTTATAAATAGCAAGGACTAAAGGAACTTTCCTAATTATAATCTAAGTTTTCTCTAAGAATACAGAAATTTTTGCAGAGTCATTTAACAAATGCTTTCATACAAGATTGTTAGCCTTTTAACTTTCCCACATTTCAGATTTGCTAGGGCAGCCACAATGGGGTAGCTTAAGCAACAGAAATTGGAGTTGGAGACTGAGGTGTCCCCAGGCTTGGTTTTTTTCTAGGTTTCTAGATGGATGTTTCCTCTCTGTACCTGCCTGTGTCCTAATCTCCCTTTCTTATAAGGATGCCAGTCCTAGTGGATTAGGGTCCCCACTAATGACTTCATCTCTTAACCCCATGGTCGGCCAACTGCGGCTCGCAAGCCACATGCAGCTCTTTGGCCCCTTGAGTGTGGCTCTTCCTAAGCCTTAGGAGTACCCTAATTAAGTTAATAACAATGTACCTACCTATATAGTTTCAGTTTAAAAAATTTGGCTCTCAAAAGAAATTTCAATTGTTGTACTGTTGATATTTGGCTCTGTTGACTAGTGAGTTTGCCGACCACTGTCTTAACCTAATTATTTATTTAAAGACCTTTCTCCAAAGATAGTCACATTCTGAGGTACTGCGGGTTAGGATTCAACATTTGAATTTGGGGACACATTTCTGTGTATCTATAGCATCATACATATAACTTTTTAAAAATAACTAATTTTGAGGTGTGATTCATATTGTGTCAGTGAGAAATACATAAAGTTCTTACGAGCAACACAGCTGTCAGGAGACAAAAAATACGTGTGGCCCTGCCACGAGAACCTTGATCTTTTTAAATACAGGCACTGCTCAGAGATATTACAGGTTTGGTTCCACACCACTGCAATAAAGCAAGTAGCGCAAAAGAAAAACAAAACAAAACAGCAAGGCATAATTATTTCGCTGGTGGAGGATCTTGCCTCCATTTTGTTAAAAATCATAACATCTGTGAAGTGCAATAAAATGAGGAGTGCCTGCACTACCATCCTGCTTAAAAACAACTCTTCTTGCAGATAAAGGCAACTACTAAAGTTTTCCCATTTAAACTTCCAACAAACTGTAAGTGATGCTGATAAATACTTGAGCACAATATGTGAAGGACAGTGGCTAGATCTTGCCACTGCCATTCATCTCTGAGGAGACATTCAGAGAGGCTGAGCCACTTCTCCCAGGTGGTGGAGCCAGAATCTAAACTAGTTCTATTTTAGGGAGAGTGTGTGATTTTCCCGAAAGTTAGATGCTTAGTACAGCAGTTAAGTGTGTGGTACCTACAAAATATAACGATGACCCTGTCACCCACCTTCAGAAATAGAGCTTTACCAATATCCCACATGCTTCTCTCCAATTCTATGCCCAGTTTCCCGCTATTGCCAGTCACCCATTTTTCAAGTGTACCACTAGTAAATCAAATATAACAATATGTTAAAAAGGATCATACACCACTATCCAGCAAAATTCATTTCAGGATGGTTCTGAAATGAACTATGGTTCAATATCCACAAATCAATGTGACATACCACATTAACAGAATACAAATCATGATCTGTTCAGTAGATTTAGAAAAAGCATTTTACAAGATCCATTTATAAAAACTTTCGATAAAATGGGTTCAGAAGGATAGTATCTCAACATAATCAAGTCCATGTATTACAAACCCACAGCTAACGTCATCCTCAATGGTGCAAAACTAAAGCTCTTCCTCTTAGATCAGGAATAAGACAAGGATGCCCACTCTTGCCACTCTATTCAACATAGTAGTGGAAGCCCTAGCCCCAGCTACCAAAGTAAAATAAATAAAAAGCATCCAAATTAGAAAGGAAGAAATAAAACTGTCACTATTTGCTAATGAAATGGTTTTATATACAGAAAACCCTAAAGACTATCAGAAAAAAAAGCTATCAGAAAGAAATGAATTAAACAACCCCATTTACAAACATACCAAAAAGAATAAAATATCTAGGAATAAACTTAACAAAGGAGGTGAAAGACCTATATTCTGAAAACTGCAAGATACTGTGTAAAAAAATCGAAGGAGCCCTAACCGGTTTGGCTCAGTGGATAGAGTGTCGGCCTGTGGACTAAAGGGTCCCAGGTTTGATTCCGGTCAAGGGCATGTACCTTGGTTGCGGGCACATCCCCAGTCGGGGGTGTGCAGGAGGCAACTGATCGATGTTTCTCTCTCATCGATGTTTCTAACTCTCTGTCCCTCTCCCTTCCTCTCTGTAAAACATCAATAAAATATGTTTTTAAAAAAATCGAAGGAGATACGAAGAAATAGATATTCCATATTCATATTACCTAAAGCAATCTACAGATTCAATACAATCCCTATTAAAATCCCAATGGCATTTTTTCACAGAAGTAGAATGAAAATGTTTGGCTCTCCTCTATGTTTACATATATGCATCTAAAACATTAACAGTTAAACTGTTTTGGTCCTTAGAAAGCTAAACTTCAATAAGATTGCTAAAAATATTGGGTTTAAGAAAAAATCCAGTTAAAATTAATAAAATACAACAGAAACTATTACTTTTTTTATTTGATATGTTAATTACTCAGATATAAAATGCGTCCTATCTCATAATTATGCCTATATATCCCAGTTGCTATAAAACCCTTCTATTATTTTTCTAAGGCTTGTAGATAATTAGTGTCATAACTTAAAAAGTGTCAGGAATTCCATTTATTATGATTAAAATGGTTATTGTGTAATGCCCTTTTAAAGAAGGCATTAAAATACAAGTAATTTAGTTTGTGATTTTGCATATGTCATTCTGAAATGTGTAAAGCTTTTAAAATATCATACAAGGCAGAGGTTACTCATCAGTCCCCACTCTTTCCATTTGCAGCGTCTCTTTCAGGGAAATTGTGGTGAGCTTACTGTCTCATCAAGTCTTGCTCCAGAACCTGTATGACATCTTGTTGGAAGAGTTTGTCAAAGGCCCCTCTCCTGGAGAGGAGAAGACCATCCAAGTGCCGGACGCCAAGCTGGCTGGCTTCCTCCGGTACATCTCCATGCAGAACCTGGCGGTCATCTTCGACCTGCTGCTGGACTCCTACCGGACAGCCATGGAGTTTGACACCAGCCCGGGCCTGAAGTGCCTGCTGAAGAAAGTGTCGGGCATTGGAGGCGCCGCCAACCTCTACCGCCAGTCGGCCATGAGCTTTAACATCTACTTCCACGCGCTGGTCTGTGCCGTGCTCACCAACCAGGAACCCATCACTGCCGAGCAGGTGAAGAGAGTCCTCTTCGAGGACGACGAGAGGAGCTCAGACTCCTCCCAGCAGTGCTCCTCGGAGGACGAGGACATCTTTGAGGAGACGGCCCAGGTGAGCCCCCCCAGGGGCAGGGAGAAGAGGCAGTGGCGGGCCCGCCTGCCCTCGCTGAGCGTGCAGCCCGTCAGCAACGCCGACTGGGTGTGGCTGGTCAAGCGGCTTCACAAGCTGTGCATGGAGCTGTGCAACCACTACATCCAGATGCACCTGGACCTGGAGAGCAGCCTGGAGGAGGCGCCCGTCCTCCGGGGCGACCCGTGCTTCATCCTGCCCTCCTTCCAGTCCGAGTCCTCCACCCCGTCCACCGGCGGCTTCTCGGGGAAGGACACGCCCTCCGAGGACGACCGCAGTCAGACGCGGGACCACGGGGGCGAGTCCCCGAGCCTGCGGGCGGGCAGCGGGGACACGCTGATGCTGCCGCCCAGCCCCAAGGTGGAGAAGAAGGACCCCGGCAGGAAGAAGGAGTGGTGGGAGAGCGCGGGCAACAAAATCTACAGCATGGCGGCCGACAGAACCATCTCCAAGCTGATGACGGAGTACAAGAAGAGGAAGCAGCAGCACAACCTGCCCTCCTTCCCCAAAGAGGTCAAAGTGGAGAAGAAGGGCGAGGCCCTGGGCCCCAGGGGCCCGGACTCGCCGCTGCTGCAGCGGCCCCAGCACCTGGTGGACCAAGGGCAGATGCGGCACTCCTTCAGCGCAGGCCCCGAGCTGCTGCGGGAGAAGAGGCCCCGCTCCGGCTCCACCGGGAGCTCCCTGAGTGTGTCCGTGAGGGACGCCGAGGCGCAGATCCAGGTGGGTCCCTGCCGGGCAGACGGTGCGGAGCTGCGGGGTGGGGCGCACTGCCCCAGCAGTGCCGGCAGGCTGGGCTTCTAACCATGCACACGCCCCGCACAGGGCACGCTTACACTGTCCAAGATTTGAGGGACACCAATAAGAGACCCAGTTCCCCTCCAAAGGCAGAGGATGGGCTGACACTAAGACCAGGATCTGCCTGTATCAGTGATGTCAGTGTGAAACTGACACGTTATTACTAGAAAATTTCAGGAATTGTGTTTATGGGTTATAACAGAGATTACTGAGAAATAAGATGGAAGCTAAAACATATAAAATGGGTGTACTTCAGGCGAAGTGAAGTAAGCCAGTCAGAGGAAGACAAATACCACATGATCTCATTCATATGTGGAATATAATGAACAAAATAGATCCAGAGACATAGAAGAATGCAACAGACTGTTGAATCTCAGAGGGAAGGCAGGTGGGAAGAGATCAACCAAAGAATTTGCATAACCCGTGGACACAGACAATAGTGTGGTGAAGGCCTGGGATGGGCTAAAAGTGGGTAATGGAGGAAAAAAGACATATGTAATACTTTCAACAATGAAGTTTTTTTTAATGGGTGTACTTTAGCTGGTATAGAGTCCCGAGTTTATCATCTGAAGAAATTCCATAGTTAGGAAGAATAATATAAAGGAAAAAGGTGGTTATGCTGATGAATTGTTTTCATCTCAAGTTTTCCTAACCCATCCAGAGCACATAAAAATTCTCATTCTTCAGAAGGCTCTGAGTGCCTGTTCATGCATATATTTCATATTTGTAATTCCATCGTACATTGAAAAAATGAGCTTGAGAAGGAAACAGTGTTGGTACTGTTTTGTTCAATTTAAGAATAGATGAGATGGGGAGAAAACAAATAGAGGGTATCTGGAGTCGTAGAGAGCCCTTTAAGAACAATCCAATGTTTTCCTGAAATTGTGGACTCCTGCTAAGGGCATAATAAATTAGACAATCTTGGGCCCTAGGATCTCATGAACCTATACAGAGATATATTCTTTGAATGAACATAAATTTAGAAATAGTATGAATCTCTTGTACGATGTGTTATTTTCCAGTAAAGTATCTTGAATGCCGAACTCAACTTCATAATTCAGAATCCACAGAAATCATAGATTTGCAAAAGACCAAACTGTGATGTATGATGATTATTTAACAGATGACCTTCTTGACAAATAACATATCTTATTAATTGCTTTTCATGCCTTGGAGATTTGCTTATGATTTTAAAAGTTATCCTATATTAAAATAGAAATATTTCAAATTTTCTAGGCGTTATAGTGACTGCTGATTAAAAGTGTTATATGTCCTATAGTAATCCCACTATGAAAAAGCAAGAGAGTTTTTAAAACTGAGGAGTAAATAAGATTTTTATAGTTTGTGAAACCTGAAAATAAGGTATTCGTAATGTTAGATAAGTCTCTGTAAATATGAAGTTACAATGACATTTTATTAGTAAAGACTAATTTATTACAGCCTAAAAGCCTGAGAAAACTCATTTGCAAATTGGCAGGGCTGAGCCACACCTGAGAGTTCAAATGAAACCACAGGAGAAAGCTGATGATTCTCTTAAATCCTTTCTCTTAGGCATGGACCAACATGGTGCTAACAGTTCTCAATCAGATTCAGATCCTTCCAGACCCGACCTTCACGGCCCTCCAGCCAGCAGTGTTCCCATGCATCAGCCAGCTGACCTGTCACGTGACGGACATCAGAGTTCGCCAGGCTGTGAGAGAGTGGCTCGGCAGAGTGGGCCGTGTCTATGACATCATTGTGTAGAAGACTCACATTGAAGAAATTCAGTAGCAAGGGTTAGAGTCTGCCTGCCAATCTGACAGCATTTTCCCCACCACCAGCCCCGCTGACACCAGTGTCTCAGAGAACCATCAACTGCTCTCTAACTAATCGCATTGGGGCCATTCCGGATACTAAGATTGTATCTAGATGACAAATGATACTCTGATTTTGCACATTATTTCTCCATTCCTTGACACATTCCTAAATCGTGAAGTTTATTTCCCAGTGCTTTCGCCTGCAATGTTATCAGCATTTTCAAAGACCACTCCTTGGAAAACTACATTGATCCATTTGATTCTTTTTTTTTTTTAAATGCAATTACTAAGAAAATGTCTGCTGGTAAGTCAAGCTGATGTATAAACACGCATACACCTAGTACCAAACATATGTCATGATTGTGCATTTGGTGGAGAAGAAAACAGCTAGAAAGATATATTCATATTCTTAGGTGTCATAATCAAGAAAAGGATGATTTTCTCTGTAAAATATTCCAGAACATTTCAAAATTGTCCTAAGTTGTCAAGATTTTCTGGTTGGTACTCACCAACATCTTTGTATAAGGTACTGTTGTGCCTTTGTTTCCCTATTTCTAATGGAAGAAAATTATTTCCTGGCAGAGTTTTAAGTTGGTGTCATGGCAGCCTTTGACACCCAGTACCCAGTGACATTTGCTGATACAGATATTGCCAAGATTCAGAAGACTGACCAGTCACCTGGCGGTCCCATTAGTCTTTGCTTTTGCTCCCAAGGCAGAAAAGAAAAGGGAAAGAAAAAATGGTGCCTTAGTCCCTTGTCGCACAGGCATTTCTATGCTCCACAGTTATCTCAACATAAGAAAACAAAACGTTAAAATGCAACTCATTTGCTATTTACACCCTTGGAGAAAAGGAAGTGAGTTCTCTATTCAGTGAGCAGACTTCTCAGGGAAGAAGCAGGCAGTGTGGGGTAGGGAGACAGCTGGTGGGGTGGGAAAGGAGATTATGATGAAATCTTCTGCTGTTATACAGCAACCATATGAAATTATGGTGTCAGTTACACAAGCTCTAGCCTCAGAAGAAAACTAAAGGAGAAGGGGACACAGGATGAAGTCTAAGAAATTTAGTTTTTCCACTTAAGATCTTTCTCCTTTCCGGCAAGTACATTTACCTCATGTCTGAGGTCCTCTTATTCAGGCCAATATTTTAAGTGAATATTTTTCTTAAATATTACTAGAAAATTAATCTGGAACCTTTATCTTATTATGTATTATATATTTAATATTTCTTAAATTATAATAACAATTATGGAAACTCCTCAGCCAAGCTCATTCATATATATTCTAGTAGAGTTAGTTGTTATGACATACATTATAATTTTCCCAGCCCCTAAAAATGCATTCATAATTGTATGTGCCATCTTTAAAAATAGAACATCAACTTTTCAATATTAAAATAAGGATTTAAAATTGACAGCTTTACTCAGTGCTGGTATATGTAAACTTATCCACAAGGTTACCAGAAAGACAGCTGATTTATTTAGGCAGTCTAAAAGCAGGAACTTTATCGTTCAGTATGCCACCTAAAAATCACCATGGAATCCAGAAGACATTTTTTTCAGTTCCACAAAACACACTCTTTGCCTTCAGTTTTTACTCATTAGTTAATAATTTGAGTTTAGAAACAGATCAACTGTTTGTAACAAGCAATGAATTGTTGGGATAGCAATGAGCTGTGTTAGTGCTTTTGAATTTTTATATTTTGTAAGTAGAATTGAAAATCAGGTAGATACTTTTTTTAAACAAATACAGTACACCAGGGTTGTTCTGTTTCTTTTTATAGCTTATCTTAAGTTCAGCTCTCTTTTGTGCACCAGTGAGTACTATAAAATTTACTGGGGGTTGCCGGGGTGGGGGGAAGGGAGAGAGGGTGCTTCAGTAGCGTATCAAATCAGAGTAATTATAAAAGGTTGTTACATATAAACATTTGTAAAGCATGAAAATTCAAAGGAAGCCAGTCTCAATTTACCAATGCCATGGCCCAGAGTGTGTTCACTATTTAGAACTCAGAATTCATTCTCCCACAGATTCTCTATCATGGGATCCAAGGCTAGTTTATGAAAATGGGTTTACCGCATACTCTATCCAAACACTGCTCTAGTACTAACCTGATTGTGGGTACCAAGAATAAAGAGATGAGGGAACACACAGAGCTCTTTACCTATAATTTTGTTAGAGGCTTTGGTCCCTTCCCATCACCCTTTCTGTAGCCCACCTGAGACCCACACTGGTCTTCAGCCCACCTCCATTCCCTACATACTCTGCTCTGCAGCCACATCAGAATTCACCCAGAAAATTAACTGTCACAGCAGTACTTCCCAGAGGTATTTGCAGTTTTCAAAAATGACATTAGTTGATGCAAATAACCTCTAATGAACAGGACTTCAAGTCACAACAAAGTCGGTTAAATCCTCCCACAGATGGGGAAGAAAAGGAGATAATTAGGAATCCTTGGCAGAGGTAGACGCGGGTCCCTTCCCAGAGTGCCCAGTGAGTCCCTCACACTCGTCCTGGTGTCTGAGTTTCTGCTTTGCCCCAAGGTCTCTGATAGACCAAGGTCTCGGCAGCCTTCATAGTTAAAACAGTTATTACCACATACTTACAGGTCTAAGCAGAATAAGATTTTGCATGTAACTTTTAGTTGCCGATATTTACTAAGTGTGTGTTACCCTAAGGGTGAGATTTACTCTCTTTTTCTAGTATTTTAGTAAACTGCACATCATGATCATCTGAAAAACTCAAAGTGTAAAAGAATCCCTGACGGAACAGCTCAGCCAGGTATATCACAGTCTTCATCCGATTTCTCCTTGCCAGGAGGGCACAGATTTGATGGAGGATCTCCTCGTTCTTGCCTCTCCTGATCAGCTTTTAAAGATGCTTAGGCTGCCTCTCTATATCATCTTGTTCTTTCTCTCCTTAAGATTCTTCTCTAGCCTTCTCCATCAACACAAAACTAGGCACCTTTTACCATTGTAGGCTATTTCATGACTGGCCACGGCTCATGCTAGCATACACAACATTCAAGTTAAAGTAGTTTCAATCAGACATGACAAAGTAGTAGAATCCAAAAGTACCTTTAAATTGAAACTTCTTTATAACAACATCACTGGGTTATTTGTTCTTGTTTTAAGGAGAAGGCTTGTACAGTCAGTTGAAAGTGATATAGCCTTAACTGCAATTACATAATAACTTTGACTTCCCCCAAATACATCACAATACTGCTTCTCAGAAGGGAAGCTCACTCATGTCTGTCCCTTCAAACTGAACAGCAAGAAGTTACAAACAGCAGGAGGTGAGATTTGTTGAGTGCTCCTGCCAAGTTACATTTATTTTATTTTCACAGTAACCTTGTGAAACAGGTATTTTCCTCATTTTTTTTAGATGAGGAAGAGACCCAGAGAGGTTAAGAAATTTGCCCAAGATAACCAGTAAATGGCAAAGTTGGTTGCAAAAGAGTTCTCTATACTATACCATTCTCTAAATGCACCAAGTAAACACTTTAGTGTCTCAAGGAATTAACACAGTTAAAATAAATTAAAAAATACTTGATTGATGTTCCAGATCCATAATTTTATGGGGATTTTTAAATAAGGTTAAAAAAGAAAAGGATCATGTTTACTAGTATATACAGAAAGACCATACACAACAATATTTTGAATGTTCAAAAATAAATCTAAACTTCCATCTTAAAGCAGACATTCAGTGGTAATTTAGAAAATTTGCCAATTAGGTGGAAATGACGGAATAATATTGTTCATGGCCAGCTGTTATGCAGGAAAACCATGGCAGTCTCCATCTGGAATGACATGCACAAATTGTGAGCCTTTTTAAATGACCATAGCCAACAGTGCCTCTCTATTGCTTCCCTGGAAGTATATTGTACTAAATTTATAGGTCATCATCTAAGTTTGGGAATATACAAAATAAATAACCATTTTCAAATGCACACTCTAAAGAGGAAGTACTGGCTAGACAAAATGGTTTAAAGATCCAGGTACTGAGAGCATCAGGTCAATCTCCATAGTAACCATGTGCCATAAAGTTAAATATTCCTACTTATTCTTTAGGCAAAAGACAAACTTAGAACTTCCATGTGCTTGGCTTCCATTTAGGTGATTCTAGTGAGATTTAGTGTGGCCTTAAAATACACGAGACTATTTTAAGCACTTTTTATTGGAAATATGAGCTGTTCTTGGGCAAGATTTATGAAATTGGTGAAGAACTTGCTTATAATTATGCTTCATCAGAAACAAAACAAGAAAACAAACTGTGTTCCCTCATTGATCAGTGGGCCAGTCTAGAAAACTGTGAGATCTTCTTGCTGTGCTTGTATGTGATGTTCATGTTTGATGTGGAAGTAACTAATAATTAAAGTTTTGGACTAGAACACCATATAGATTTCCAAAACACAATTATTCAGGGAAGACAGACCAAAAAAGAAAAAGAAAAAATCATCTCCTGGGATGGTTTAAGAGAAACTCAGTTGAGAGCAATGCTCGATTTCCTTATGAACAGTGGCACCACTGTTAACTGAAGAAAAGCCACCCTCACACCACTGGCACCATGCAAAACCTTCCTCTCTGTGAACTAATGCGAGGGGGTTCCAGGGGGAGAGACTGGTTGAACATCTTCGTGACTAAGCTGCAGTTGGCTGCTGGTGAATCCCATCCAGTTATGGTCCTCCCAGCCTGTTCAACCACCAGGAATTATTTGTACTGTTATTCCTCTCCTGAAGGTTTAAGTCGTGGTTGTCTAGTGTCGTCTGACTTTAGAATGGTGGTTCTCAGACATTGGCACCCAGCAGAATCACCTGGAGGGCTGGTTAAAACAGATTGAGTAGCGCTGGAAATCCGCATTTCTAACAAGTTCCTGGAGGAGGCCAATGCTGCTGGTCTGAGGACCACACTGAGAACCACTATCTTGAAAATATCTCCAACTCTTATCTTTAAGATCAGCTTGACTTATCAAGCACTAGAGAAAAACTGAACTTAACCTTGGCAAACAACTTGGGATTAGATTCTCTACAGCAGGGGTGGAGAACGTCTCGCCCTTGGGCCATAGGAGGCCCCAGAAATAATTTGGTCTGGCCCTGCCAAGGCATTATGGGTGAGTTAATTAAATGTTTGACCAAATACAGCAGGCTAATTTTTAAGTTGATAATTTTGTATCGCCCAAGAATGATGATCCAAATGGCCGTTGACAAAATAAAGGTTCCCCACCCCTGCTCCACAGCATTCCTGCTCAATCTTCCCAGTTTCCATGGTTTATTATACCAACAATTGTTTTGTGTGTATTTTTATAAGCTAGAGGACAATGAATGTATAAGTTCTATGGAACAGTGAGATCAGTATAAGCTTCTCGTCTTTGTATTTAGAAACATTGATTCTGTGGATGATCATTTGTATCCTGTTGGCCCTTTGACTTGTGCTGAGGTGATTTTAAGTTTAAGTATGTGGTGTTTGTGTTTCTTCTGTCCATACAGTTTTAATGAAATGTTTCCATGTCGACTCCATTATAATCTTGGCTCCTGGCTTCCAGATGTTTTTGAGTAGTTGCTTGCTTGCCAGTCGTTTTCTCTCTCTCTCTCATTAGTCACCAAAATGTCAGCACTTCAAGATGACATTACACTACTTGATGTGCCTTCATTTTTCACGTGTCTGGTGTAAATTAATATTTTAATTTCCTGTAGACCTGCAAACAGTCTACCAAATGGCTTCATGGAAATTTGCAAACATAACCACCTCCCCTTTGAGCAGTATATGTGCCTGTTTTAAAGTCTTCTGAGTAAATATGTTGGGTTTGCACTCATATCTGCACAATAGAGGCCATATTCATTATCTCATTTTCCAAATGATGGAAGAAATGTAAAAATGCATCAATATGCATTGCGAATACAGTGATGTCATGTTAACTCAAAGATAGCTGGGCCTTAGTTTAGTTCTTAAGTCTTTATTCAAGTAATTAGCCTTGGAAATTCTTTTTACATGGAGGAAGGAACACAGAGGGAATAATTCAAGAGAAAACAAATAAGTACCTTAAAATCATCATCTGTGTGTGAGCTATTTTAATTACACATAATTCTTATTGATTTAATAAAGTTTCTCTAAATACTTCTCAAATACCCTGATTTCATTCAAATTACTTTATCCTTTTGTATGAATAGAAAGTAATGACTATATTTACTAGAATTAATGAGATCCAAAAGTATATCAAAGTGTTAATGGTATCAAGGATTCAAATCCTTGCCTCTGGATGGAAATAAAGGTTTTTTAAATTTATTTTACTTTTGTTTTAACTTTTCCTGGAAATGATGCATGCATTTAATTCTTTTAATGATAACTTATTTTCAGATTAAATTTTAAAATTAATCTCTAGGAATAATTTGTTTTCAATTTATTTTGCCAACTGGTGCCAAAAAGGGGAGAGGGAGATCTTCCAAACTACTACATAAGATATGATTTCTCTTCAAGTTAGGGAAGCTCTGGACCCTGGCGCTACCACCCGCCCATGGTCATCCATGGCTACCTCACAATATGTGCAAGCTACTCTGTATTCCTCCCTCTGTTCATTCTTCTGGCTCTTGTTGGAAGAGGTTCTCTCTAATAAAAATAAGTTTCCCACTAAATAGGCAAAATGGTACAAAGAGGAATGCTTTTGATATTCCGGTTTCACCTCAGTTGAAACCAGGTGGTAGAATATACGGGTAAGGCATGATAGGGGCAGGAGGAGGTGCCTAGAGGGAAAGGCTGGTTGTTTATGTTTCTTGGTTTGTTTTTTGGTGGGTGGGTGGGGGTAGGGAACTAAGAATAAATATTTATTGCCCTAGTCATGCCAAACAACTATTATTCAAGATTAGTTTTATGCTTTTCTAAAGGAATAAAAGTAAATTACATTATAAACAGTTCCCCTATTACCATTTCCCCACTCTAAACAAAGCCAACGGGTGGTAAGGATCCTTTTATCCTTTCTTGTATGATGCCAAAGAGTCGAGTTGTTTTCATTGAAAATTATAAATAAATGAAGCTTGGTATAGCCATAATGATTTGAGTCAGTGTGCCATTTCATCTACAAAATGCAAAATTCATCATTGCAACTCTATTCACCAGGAGCCTTGAAGCATTGTGTTTACTTCAAAGGACTTGTCAAGGAAGTACAGTTTTTGTTTTGCCTTATTATCTTGTCAGTTTGGTCACGTTTATTTTAAAAAAACTGAAAGCCACCCTCCTTTAAATGTTGATATAACTGTTTGATTTGATATAATCTATTGTTTAACAGGTCTCTCTAAGCAAGCTTGCAAGTGTATTTTGTGTACATTTTATCTGAGGTGAAAATGAAAATTCTAAAGAGAAATATTTTAAAAGATATTGTATTTATGTTGCTTGTGTTGTAGAATAAAGATTCAAATGCATTTAAAAAATCTGATATGTGGAACAAATTTTTTAGCAAATAAATATATCAAAATAATTTACGTAAATATACTGTGTTTACAGAATTCTGCCTAAAGAACTAGGTTCCTTTCCATGACATTTCATAGCTCTGAATGAAAATTTGGTACATGCCTAGAAAATACATTGGAAGAAATGTATGTATGTGTGTGTGTGTGTACACCATTGTTTCCTTTTCTTAAAAAAGAGGGCTTATTTTACAATACTGTTTTGGTCTTCATAAGAATGGATATTATATTCATATTGTCATAAATACTAATGTAACTTATTCTTTTAAAAAACCAAGTGTCTTTTGTTCATAAATAACTAAATTAATAGGCATATAATTATTAAAAGGGAACATTCAGAATATAATACAGCCACTTTTAACTTTATGACCTTATTGGTTTAAAATTAACTGTATTAAAGGCCTATTAATAGTATAAGCCTAGGAACCCTCATGCCCAAAGTGTGAAAAACTGCTTGGCCAATAGAGGGATAAAAGACAAAACACCGTAGAGATGGACACTGTGTATATGACCTTAAATCACAAAGATATGATTCCATCACACATTGGTAATCTCAGACTTAGTCGTTTACATCTTGCAGACAAAATGAAACTAAAATAGACACGAATGTGCTTTTCGTAAGGACATCACAAACTTATTAAACATAAGTGAGCAACCACATTCATGGATGGAGACAGCTGCGCAGACTAGAGAGGCCAGGGGCCTTTGCCGGAAAAGCAGAGTGCACATCCCAAGCTTTGCTCCCGCCTGGGAGTGGGGAACCCAGACGACCCTTGAGAACAAGCTCAAGGTTCCTGCTCTGCAAAATGAATATAAACTCTCAAAGGGTTGTTTCAAAATAACGTGAGAGCCCCAGTGTCACAGTGCTTTGTACATGGTAGTGCCTAATAAATGCTAACTGCTATGGATAACCCATTTCATAAATAGCCCCACTATTTTGGAAGATGATTTATAGTGATCTAATGCATACCTGTACTTGACATTCATATCCATGAATGCACCATAACACAGAAAGCTTAACATTTTTAAATTGATTTTTAGAGAGAGGAAGAAAGAGAAGGAAGAAGAGAGGGGGAAAGAGAAAGAGAGAAACATCATTGTGAGAGAGAAACATCAATCGGTTGCCTCCTGTAGGCACCCCAACCAGGATGGAACATGCAACCTAGGTTTGTGCCCTGATGGGGAATGGAGCCCACCACCCTCTGGCGTATGTGAAACGCTCCAACCAATCGAGCCACGCCGGCCAGGGGAGTGCAGAGCTTATATCAGGAGGTCAGCAGCTCAGAATTGGCAATAGCCAATTCTTCCAATATTACTATCCAGCAATGAATATAATATATGCTAAAGCTATATGTATTTCGTTAAAGAAGAGACAACACACTTCAACTGTTTGGCTTATGCTCAAAACTTGTATTATATTTCAGCTTTGATAAATATTTCATATCACTCTTTAGAAAATTTACTTTCCCATCTGGCTTAAAGCTAGGTTCAATAAGCAAGTGAAAAAAAAATGGAAGCATAATGTAATATTGTGGCTTTCACATACTGACCAACATTCCCATTATCTCGGCCTTTGAAAGGGCACTCTAAGCATGCCTTTTATCTCTTCCTCGTTTGTTTTTATTTATAGATTCCTAGTTACAACATCCAGCCGTCGGTGCCCTGAGTCTGCCCTGTTAACTTAATCTGGTTGCACAAAATGTTTTGTTGTCAGAGAAACAAACTACCCAGCTTAATGATCTCATCGGAGCTCAGAGATGGCAACAACATAATTAAATCCCAGCGAAGTTTATAAGCACTTTCCAACTCATAAAAGAAGTGCTATTTCAACATGAAGGAATCAAATTCACAACAGTTTAGAGCTGAGAATTGAAGTACTGAACTCCAGTTGACTTTGATATAGTTTCTTTGTCTTCCCAACATCAATACCTCATTTTATTGTGCTTCACTTTACTAAGCTTCAGAGATATTGCGTTTTTACTAATTAAAGGCAAGACTCTCCACCAGCAAAAAGATAACAGCTCGCTTTATTGCGATAGTATTCGCTTTACTGCAGTGGTTTGGAACTGAACCCACAATGCCTCCCAGGTAATTGCTATATTGAGCTATTGTAAATGGTACAAATGGTGTAAGGAAGTCAAACAACATTCTTTGCCAGCATCTCTAGCAGAGAATAACCTTCAAGAAAATAAATGTTAAATGTGATGCAGAAGGCTCCATTATAACTCAACTTGAAAAAAAATATGAATATTGAAGTTAATTCACCAATTGCAAAGGAAAAGATACTCTTGGCTATATTACAGCTAAAAGGTCAATACTCCAAGGTTTGCTTTAGTCTACTCTTAGGATGGCCTTCGAATCAGTAAATACTTGATGGATTTTCTAATATAGCGGTGGATTACAAAAATAACATTCTTCTGAAGCTTAGAATAGATTTATTTTTTAAATGGGAGGAATATATATAATTATAGACCTCTCAGATAAAAACCATATAGAGGTGGGCTTTGTGGGAAACTGGGCATATCTGACATCTGTTCTAAACCCTCCCAAATGGAGACACAGACACTATGTACATTAGTACAGATTTACAGAGTTAAATTTTGCATTGGTAAATTTATAAATATAATTTAATGAGCTTTTATTCCATTGGGGAGAAAAAAACTCTATAAAACTTTTGGGGATGAGAGCATGGGATGGGAATAAAAATAAGGTCTCCTACTTTCCAGGTGGCTCTGTCAGCCCCTGCAGTGCTGGCCAGGCAGCAGCTCTCCCTGCCCCGACACCCTCTGCTGAGCACATCAGTGCACTGCCCCCTTGCCTGCTCCTGCTACTCTAAGGCATCAAATGGAAAGAGGTTAACACAAACACAGAGTTGTTGCAGAGGCTGCCATGGAAACATGCATAGGATATGATAATTATCAGAACTGTCTGATAGCACTGTCTCTTTCAGGGAACTGTGATTGGCCAATGTTCAGAAATGGGCACAAATATGAATGGCCAGGACCAGCTCGATGACCCAGAGATGGGAGATGAATGCTACCAGGCCATCCTTCTTCAGTACACGTGTTTCCTCAAAAGCATTAAGTAGACTTCTATGACTGAAAAGTATATGAGATATTAATCTATGTTCTTTTTTTCTCCAAGTATTTCCCCCCATTTCTTTCTCCTTATTCAAGTAGGTAGTTGGCTTACGGGTGCACTGTATCAAGGAAGGGATATGATGGGACAGAATGACCCAAAAATTGTCTGTCACATTCTGTAGTTCTTATATTCCAAAAGCCTAAGATTACACGATTACACACACACACACACACACACACACACACACACACACACACACACACACACTCTATTGTGTGTTGTTTCTTTTTATTTTATGTGGGTTTTGAGGGAAGGGTACCTACCATAGGGAGAGTGTAGACAAACTCTCTAGGGTAGAAACGTGAAGGTAAATAATTCCTCTTCTTTGACTAGAACTGAAATCTCAGGGCTGAAAGGAGAGAAAGTTCAATAGCAGAAAGGCTGCAGGTCAGGGAAGACCCCTTAACAGCCCCGACTGTAAGAGCCTAGAGAAGGCAGGCCTGTCTCAGGGTGGCAGAAAGATCGCCACACCTCGTGGCGTAGAAGAAGCAGGTGAGCCAGCACCTGGCAGCATGGAAGCTCAGAACACTTTTCAGTTGAGTTAGAAAAAATGAGGAAAATTAAAATTTTATACGTGAAGTCGTGAGCTGAGATTTAAGACCTGCTTTTGTAGTGAATAGTCTAAAAAGCACAGTATGTCTGGTTTTATATGGAAATTAGATTGATGGTGGCCAGGGGGGACAG